CCTGGCTGCAGCCACTTGTTAAGATGACATCCTGCAAAGAGCACAGAGAGGTCAGTGGGAAGCACAACCACTCTCAAGTACTCCAGACACACAAGAGTGACATAACATCCAGGCTCAGCTCTGCCAGGGAAAGTTTCTCAGCCAAAAAAGACAGTGCCAAGGCCTGACTGAAAGCAGGGAAACTTCAGCTGGTGAAAAGAAAAATCTCCTCCTGGGGAGGGTGGAGGTGAAGGGCTCCAAGAAGGGATGAGAGCAGCAGGCCACCTTGGGACAAGGTGATTTGACTAGCCTTTAGTCCCATAACTGGGCAGGCAGGGACAGCTGGGGTAGGGCCCCCATGCCCCATGGTCTGCAGGCAGCAGCACCCTGTCTGCACTGCAGTGGGAGTGCCTTGGCTGGGCACCAGTACCTGGGCCTTCAGTGGTGCCTCCGGGCAGTTGTAGTATGCAGCCACAGCTTCCCGGCAGGAATGGTAGCCTGAGGAAAGATGAGTCAGACATGGAAAGGAGGTTTTTACAGATTCTTTCCTTCTTGTTACCAGTACTGTTTTTTTCTTCTTACCAGTACGAGGCTCACAGCTGCTGCCCAGCTGGGGAAAGGCCATTTGGTGGCAGAGACTGTCCTACCTCAGGCCAAGCACCATGCAGCCCCAAGGCTGGGCCAGGACGGCCAAGAGCAGGGACAAACCTTGGGCAGGGAGGCAAACTCAGACCCCAGTATGTCCCAGGGACAGAACTGACAGGAGCAGAGTGGAAGGTAGCCAGAGAGTTTTCTGAGCCAGAGGCTTTCATTGTTTAGTGATGCCACTCTATGCCAGATCTATGCTCTGTACATGCTTTTGGCACTAACTTCAAACAAAGCTCATGGTGTCAGTGAAGTCAGGGAGCCCAAGAGAACTCCTGGTTAAGGCAGATCAGAAAGGAGCTTGGCTATAACCCATGGCAGGGACACACAGTACCCAAGCTCTTCTAGGTTCTTGATATCCTGTCTGCCCCAGTGGCTGGGGCAGCAAACAGCTTCTGCAGGATCTCCAGGCCCCAAACAACCCACACAGGAGAGAGCACACAGGTGTATCTGGGGGATACACATACCTGTGTGTTCATGTGACTGTTGGTGAGGACAGCTGTAGGGTGCTAATGGAAAGATGTCTGTGGGCTCCATATACCTGCTGGGGGATAGGACCTGGCATATGACTTCATCCAACTCTCACAGGATGAGCGTTGTCAACTTACCAACAGATGGAGCATAACCATTGTACTGTCCTGAGTCCAAAACCTCCTTCACAGCCCGTGTGACCTCATCATTTGTGGGAAGGTTTCCAAAGACCGTCGGGTCTCCTTTTCAAAGATCGAAAAAACAGTAAAGTTCTCACTGATCTGTGACAGGCACAGAGCTGTGTGGTTGTCTGACCTATCCCTTGGTGTTCACACAAACTTTGTGCTTGAGAGCCCTGTCATCTGTCAGCCACACAGTTGATCCAAATACCTGGAGGCTTCAGCCACAGGACTATGCTCACCTAAGGATAAGGAGATCATGGCTTTCTTTGGGTTGGGTTCCACCTTCATGCTGTCTACAATGGCTCGGATGGGATTGAAAGTCTTCTTTGACATTTCAGAAGCCCTGACAGCCCATCTTGGCTTCCGACCCTTCACCTTCCCTGGTGATATGGTGTTCCCAGTGTTCTTGAGATGAACATCTAGCACAGGGGCATGATCTCCGTGGCCATTCACTTGGATCAGGTACGAGTCCATCCTGAGAGCTGTCAGTGCAAAGTGAATTTCCTGGGTTTAGTTAACACATGTCAAACAAGGAATCTTGTCTGGAGATGCATTTGGGGATGCAGCCCATAAGTAAAACTTCCAAAAGCCGTAGACACTACTTACTGCCTACGGACAAAGCAGCAGAAGCAGCAAGTAGGGCCCTATTTGGTGCCAGGATGTAGTGAAACCCCATGCATAAGTGAGAGAGCAATACAGTGGGAAAGATTAAGGCACTTCTGTGTGTTAGCTGCACCTGTGCCTAGCATGGGCCTCCTGCACTGAGGAGGAAAAAGCCCTGCTAAAGCCAGAAGCCAAGAATTAGCAGCATGTTGTAGTCACTGCATGACTGCAGATTCAATAGTCCACTGACAGAAGGACCAGGTCACCCACTTTCTCCCCCCAGCTATCAACTTGTACACCTCAACCTGCAAACACAAGGGCTGGCCCACTATGTGTGTTCATATGCAGTATGATCCTCCAGTCTACAGACAGAAATGCAGCACTACAAATCAAATATCAGATGCCAAGAAGGTAGTTCTTCTTCAATGTTATCAGGATGCACTGGGCAGTGGCAGGATAGAGGTTAGACACTTACTTCTTCTGCTGACACTTACGTCAGCAGAGAACAGCCCAGCCCAGAGAGCCTAGAGCAAAAGGCAATGCTTAGGAAATGGAGCAAGACTGGTATGGCCAAGAGGGAAATCCAGGAGGCAGTGCCCCAAAGAGTCTGTAGTTCAACCTGAGTAAAAAGCAAGGCACAGCAGAAGAACAGCTGCCTCCAAGGCCCAAAATTGGACACAAAAGCGACTTACACATCCCAGCATGTTATACCCAGAACACAAGCTAGATCAGGCAGAAAAAGCCTAACTTACAAACTGATGATGACTCAGGGATTTCCACCTGCAGCTCAGGGATGGGCCACAGAAGAGGCAGACCTCCTGATCCACAAAGTCTGTTCTTCCTAATACTGGCACACTCCCTTGTAATCCTGCCACAAACTGCTTATGCTTCCTATTCTGTCCTATTTCTCTGCTCCACTGAAAAGCAAGTCAGTAAACAGTGGCCCTTTCCTGATGGTAGTTGCATAGCCCCACACTCGCAGATAGAGCACAGCTTCCCCTTCCTTGATGCAGAGACTGAGCCAGAAGGGCTGTAGTGTTACTTGGTTCAGACAGGATTTGCTATCTGAACAAATTTCTCACTGTTTCAGTGAAGTTTGCACCTAGAGATGCCCCATGCTGCTGCAGTTACTCTACCAGCAATGCATTATTAGGCCATTTATAACAACCCAGGCTGATCTAACAGGGTCACAAAGCAAGACTTCAGCTTTTCTGCTGAAACCTTCTGCATTTCCTTTCCACCAGAAGAAAGTCAGCTGAAGAAATATCCAGCGGGGCTGCACAAAAAACTGAGTCTAGAAATGAGCCACGTATCTCAATTCAACAGCTGGGCTGTGTCCCAAATACACAGTCTATCCTAGCAGAGCCCTTACACCACCCTGAAATATGGCTCTTCTAAAAAGGGGAGCTGTAGACACAGGCACAATAGATACCTTCAGTGTAGGCAGCCTGGGAAGAACTCCCCACTACCCACCTGAAAGAAACAAGGCACCAAAACACAGCACCTTACCTTCTACAGCACAGACAGGAAGACACCAACAAGCCTGGGGGTCCAGTCCCTAGTTTTCATCCAGGACAAATCCCCTTGAGAGGAAAGTCCTGTGAATTTTTGCCCATGAAATAATCCCCAAAACTGGGCGTTGAGACTGAATCATTTAGCCATTGGCCCACAGAGAGGGCTGCTCTCTCCACCCAAAAATGACCTCTCCTCCCCTTTGCAATTGTAGTCACTTCAAACACCTGGAACATGGCTCTGCATTAACTCTTTCTGGAGGCAGCCTAAGGACACAGCTTGGCTTCCTGGCATGCCTAGGCTGCCATCCTTTGTCACCACTTTCCTCAGTCTGCAAACACTGCTGGGGGCAAATCTGCAGAGTCCGGGTATTCCAGCACTAGCACCTTGTAATTCACTGAGAGTGGATTGATGGACCGTAAAGCTTGAGGACACCATCAGTCTGTCCTGACCTAAGAGTTTCTGGGATCCCAGCGCACCAGCTGACAAACACTAGTTTGTGGCTTCATTACAATTGATTACAATTGGAAGGTATCTTCCTCAATAAACTAAAGGGAAGAAAGCATTTCCCTAGCCAGTGCTTTGGAGGCACCAGGAGCTCAAGCTGTCATTGGTTTGGAGGTTTTTTCCTTTTTTTTTCCTTTTTTTTTTTTTTTTGGTTTGTTTTTTTTCGTTTTTTTTTTTTTTTGGTTGCTGCAAGACCCAAGTAAACTCATAATTCTGGCAGCCAGCAGAAATTAGGCAATTCTTCCCTCTTTGATGGTATTGCAAACCACAGATGATACCATTCCCAGAAGGCCACTTTTGCTAAGTGATGTGAACCTATGACTTCCTGCCTCAATTCCTCCATGGCTAGGATAAATGAGAGACATCTGCACTCTTCCTTACCTTTCAAGGGTATTGCCATGGCAGCAAATGGCCAGAGACTGAAGAGTTGCTCAGGGACAAGAGGGACTTGCCAACCTACGAGCAAACACACTGCTGATGCCTTCAGTGCAGAGGCCAGTGGTCACTGTGAATTTTACCTGTTTATACCTGCGCTGGAGTTGGAGGACAAAGGACCTTGCATTCAACCCATGCTCACTACACAACCATCAGAAAGGCTGCAGCTCCCCAGGTGACATGAGTAGCCCCTTCCCTCACTGCTGTAGCTGGGCTGACACAGCTGGGGAGCCACGACCTGTGTTGACCACACTATTGCAATGGGCACTTCTGAGGCCACAATGGGGGCCAAGGATTCAGGCTGGAGACAGGCTGGAAGGCGGTGGAGTGTGCTCAGCAGGTCTAGCCGGGATCCTTAGGCCCAGACTGGAGGGCAGACTTCTCATTCCAACTAGCCCCAAGGCCTTTGGACAAGGAATAGCACCTTTCAAAACCCTTTCACAGAGCAACATCTTGTATTGAAGCTGTTTGGACTGTCTTCTGCTGAGGGCTGCAAAATTTCTCTCTTCTTTTGACTGAAACCTGACATGAGTAACCTTTGGAAGTTTATGCAGGCCCTCTCCAAGCACCTATGGGTTATTTTCTCACTTTCCTCAGCTAGCCCCATGTCTTGTCATGCTGCAGGCCTGGCAGGGTTAAACATGGCATTGGGAGGCCTCAAGGACGATGCTGTATGTTCTGCCTAGCAACAGTCCCCAAAGTGACGCAACTGGAGCCCTACCCGTCATACTGCACACAGCAGTGGGGTTCAGGGAAGGCCACAGTCGAAGTCTGTTGCCAAGGTGGGGAAAAATGTGGCTCTGGAGACATAGGAGGCTCGGTTACATAATGTTGAGAACCTGGTGAGAAGCAGGGTGAGGACAGACGTGTACAACGGCATCTGTGGGTCTCTCCTGCTATTACAATGCCCTTCTCCTCTCACTGAATGACCCCAGTCCTCCTCCAGACACTTTCACATGGGGTATGCAGCCCCTATCCTCCCACCCCTTGTTGTGCACTGTTTCACAGGACAAAAGCATGAACACACAACTCAGCAATTAGTGTTCTAGAAATATGGCCAAGCCATCCTTCTATGGTGCGGTGAAAGAGGCAGCCATACCCTGCAGGATGCATTTCTGCCAGCAAGGCTGCCATCTCTCTGCACTGTCAGGCCCCTATGCTCCCCACTAACACCTCACCCCACTCACTTGCCTCCACCCTCTGTAGTTTGCTTCTCTGTCCCAGCAGGTCAACATCACAGGCATCTTGAGCATACCTCTTCAGCTCCCTCTTTCTTGTGTACCTTGAGCAATTGATTTTTATCTCTTCCCACTGGAAGGAGAAACTAGTGATAACTTCAGCATTTTTTATGGCACTGCCTTTCTCTGGTACCAAGGCTCCCAGAGTCCCATTTCTGTGAGCAGAGGTGAAGCCATTAAGACCAAGCAATTCGGCTTCCAGACTGAGCTGCAGACACAAAGTGGGACTGACAAACAGCTGCTTGAGGAGAGCACAGGCTCAAGCATTGCTGCACTGACAAACCTGTCTCTGTCAGACTGCAGGTAGGTCATACACAAGGACAGTTTTGCCAATTCAGGGTGCACTGGGAGGTGCAGGGACAGACAGCCAACTAGTACTCTGCATAAAAATCCACCAGGGTCGGTAACAAATCACTTCACTTGTTACCTGCCCCCCCCAAAAATTTTTTTTTGCTTTAATTTCCAGCAATTTATGTCTACTCCTTTCAGCAGTAGACTGCACTACCCAGCCTCTGACCACTGTGGTGCTGGGAGGGTACAGAGTCCAGCAGGTACAGGAGCCTTTGCTTGCTCAGCCTGGGCACTGAGTCCATAGCCAGCACATTGACAGACACAGAGTGCACTCCAGGTTTGCGGGGAGTTGGAAGCATCAGTGAGCTACAGGCCCATCAGCCACGATGAAAGACTTGCAATTCCTGTTACAGATGCTGAGAAGAATGTTCCACAAAGTGTGAGTGTTACTGGCTCCTGAGTACAGGCACAGTGAAAAAAACCATCTTGTCCAGACTTGTGTCTGTTTACATCCAGGTAAATATTATCCAGGTAAGTGCATATCCTGTGTTTGACTTACGACTTCAGAGACTTGAGCTGTTGCATGATATGTCATAGCAGCTGTCCTCCAATGGCCTTGCAGCCACTGGGACAGTGACCAGCTAATGGGGGGGGTGCGGAAAGGGGCACAGTGGCTTTGTGGGGTGAGATGACAATGTGCGGTTATAGTGAGTGCTGTGGGCAGCACCAGCACTTCCTTCTCACAAGAACACAGACAGGCCAGCCTTCTCATGACTGAATTACAGCCCCAGTGATGGAAACCTACCATCTTCTGACTCATCCACTCCTGCAATAACTGTTCATCTCCTTATAAAATGGTGGAGTTGGAGTGTGTGTGAGAAACGTTGAGGGTGCCTAAAATAAATCCCTTTTGCTTCAAGCTAAGCTCTCTGTTTTCTGATCATGCCAACAGCAAACAGAGTGAACAAAATATTTCCCTGCTCTTGACAAGAGTTTTTTACAAGTTTGCAAGTTGTCTAGACACCTCTCTATTAACAAGCTTGCAGCTGTTAAGAGATGCTTGTTATTTGAAATGAGATGTCTGTGATCAATCTTTTTCTCAGAGGTTGTATTTCTAGATATTTCTTTTGCTTTCTTCTGAATCCCCTCCAGCTGATCCACTTGCCTCTGGAAACACAGTGTGCAAGACTGGGGCCAAGCCAGTCTGAAGTGGGGGCAGAAGAATTTCTTCACACGTCCTACATGTGACATTCCTGTTCATACACCCTAGAAATGTTAGTTTTTTCGCAACAGGATGACATTGTGGACTTGAGTTCAGTTTGTCATTCACAGTAACCTCCAGTTCTTTTCTACAGTACTGCTCTATCGTCATCATGCTGCACTCATTGTCCCTGTGATTATTTATTTATGTGGGACAGTCAATAAATCTGGTTGTGGTGTTCAGCAGTGATTGTGCTGCAGCTCCCAGCTGCCTCAAACTGGAGACATACAAGGCAGTTCATTACTTGCTCCTACCACTTTACCCTCCAAGTTCCCAGGGAGGGCACTGAACCAGGTCAGAGCTCTTGGTCCATGGCAAGCCAAACCACATCATTCCCTCCCTTAGCACAGCAATGATACCAGAAGTAGCCAGAAACAAGGAAGCCAAAAATAATATAATAAATAATTATAAAGAGAAGCCTAAACAGTGGAGAAGATTAATACTGGCATCCTCAACTTCCTATTGCTCTGTTCTGCTGACTGGTATTTGTTGCAGTGAAAACAGGAACCCAGAAGATGATGCTGACCAAGTTCAGCTACAGTACTTTGAGCAGGAGTGAAGTGACACAAAGTATTTTTAAGATTTCTCATTATAGCAACAGAAATTAAATAAGATTGACTCACTTCTGTGGTATCTTAAGCTCGTACTTCACTTTTTAGCAGCAAACACTCTAGTAAAACACTGAACACGTCTCCAACAGACCAATACTTCCTGTCTCTGTCTTTGAACAAGTAAATCACAGACAAATCCAAAGAAAGCTTTATCTCAGTTTGTTGGATGACCAGCAGCAACACTCTGCGTTAGAAACACTTGTTTCATCCCTTCTTGTGACTCATGACTATTCAGCTTAGTTCTTCATGTCCCTTTCAGTCAAAAGGTCTACTAAGAAAAATGGCACTGTGCATGACCCTGAAAGTTCACAAAGGGTTGCTAAAATTTTTAAACCCATCCATCAAGGAGGCCTGCTTTCTGGCACGTCAACATGAGTGATGCAACATATGCTGATGAAAGGTTGTGTGCAACAGCCTCACTGCTGAGCACCTGCACTATCTCCAGACTGCTCGTCCTAAGCTCCCTATGGATTCTCCATTTTCTAACTTTGCACACAATTTCTGTCCCCTCTATCTGACCCGGGCTTTGAAACAATGGTTCTTTTGTTTTCCTTCTCTCTTACCTCAACCTAAGTAAATTCTAAGATGCATTTTCAGATCTCCAGACCTTTGTGGAATCAGGTGAAGTGTTGAGGAGAGTGTTTTCCCACAGTGCTGAGGTGCAGTTTTTTGCCTTTACACCATATAAGTCTATAGGGTTATTGCTGTTGCTCCTGTAGAGACAGAAGGGTGAAACAGTCTGTTGCCACCAGTCTTGCAGATGGAGGAAATGCATTTCTGCATTTTAGAGACAAATTTGGAATGTGTGCCTCTCAGGGCACATATTCACGTACTGTGTCTGAGACCTTACAGTGTAACTGTTTTCCTAAAGGCAATGAAAGTATTTCTTTGCAATTTTTTTTGCTGTAAAAGCAAAGAGCTTTTACAGACAGTGTTTGGTCAAACTCTTGAATAAAAGCATTTGCTCTGAATGTGGAGTTTTCTGTATTTTCAAATTGTCCTGCTGTCCTTACTTTTCTCCCTTTCCTGAATCTGCTCTGCCCTTACCAGTCCTGAGAAATGCTGACACTTGTAAATGGGTGAGATCCTGACTTGCCTTCGCTCCAGCCACTGCCAATAACCACAGGAATAATTCATCACCTCCTCTGCTGGAAGGTGATGGCCGCTGTGCTAAGGGGTCTACCAGGATGGGAGGACAGACGGAGGGCAGCAGGACATTATTGTCAGTAGAAAGGTCCCATCACATAGTCTGAAGTGCTCTCCGGCAAAAAGACACAAAAGGGGTCTATTTTGTTCTGTATGGCTAAATATAAGGTAACATATCTAAAGAAAATTACCTGAACATGGTCTGCCAAGGGCTGAACTGGAACCTCACAGCTGCACTGCAGGACAGATCCCACGGTGTTAGTGACTGTATCTGGAGACACTGGCTCTGTGCTGGGGCAGCTGGAGAAGCAACAAAATGCTGCGCATTGCCAGGACAAGACAGACAGTTGTTCTGCTGATGTAAACTGCCAGTGCACTTGTGTCTTGAGTGCTGCATAGAGGTGCAATCACTGCTTCACAGGATGGGTTTAGGGGAGTTAGGGCAGGCCCAGAGAAGCTGGGAGTGGGGTTTGCATAAGGAGCAGAGAGGCACGGATGAAGTTTACAGAGGCACGAGGCGGCAGAAAAACTGAATTAAGAACACTCACCAAAACTCACAGCACAGGAAAAGGCAGAACTTGTACAATTGTGAAAATTTAGTTAGATAAATTTAGTCAGTTTCCAGTGGGTTCTAACAAGCATGTTCTGTGGCAGGTGAGAAACCTCGAGACGTTATCGCCACAAGGGGCTGCGGGGACCGTGTCCGTGGAAGCGAAGGGGAGCGGGCACACACAGCCAGCAGCTGGTGAATCGTGCGCAGGTGCCGGAAGACCGCGCACCTGCGCCGGGGAGCTGAGCACCTTCAGACGGGGCAGGGCCTAGCCCGGTCGGAGCTTCCACCACTTTAGAGAAGTGCCGGCGGGGCGGAGGCGAGAGGACGAGACGGAGTTCACCGCGCCAGCGGTACCCCGGGGCGGCCCGGCCCGGCCCCCCGGCCCCAGCGCCGGCGGAGCGGGGCCGCGCCGGGCCATGGCGGAGCGGGGCTGCCCCCGTGCCGCGCGGGGGGAACGTGCCGGGGCGGGCAGGCGGTGAGGGCAGCGGCGGGCAGCGGGCGGTGAGGGCAGCGGGCGGGAGGCCGCGAGGGCTCCGGGTCGCCACCGGGGCTGGGCGGACCGGACTGGCGGCGGCGAGGGGCCTGGACGGGTCACTGCCATCCCTGCCATCATCTCTCCTTAGCGCCATACCCGCACCAGAGGCAGAGGGGCCGCGGGGAAGCCGCACCGTGCCGGGGTCGCTGGAGCGCCGCCACTGCCTGTACCTGCACACAGGCCGGGGTGAGCGCGGCCGGCGGGAGCCGCTCCCTCTGTCCTGCGGAGCGCAGCGGCTGGCCCGGCTCCCTCCCGGGCGCTCCTCTGCGGCCGCAGACTCACCTCGGCCTCCCCTCCAGCCTTCTGCCAGATGGTGGAGGTCCTGCTCGCCGTCCTGATCCTGGTCTGCAGCTCCGTGTCCTGTGGCTCGGCGGGAGGATACACCGGCCTCCCCGCCCTGGGGGGCATCTACTACTACCAGTACGGCGGGGCCTACAGCGGCTTCGGCGGAGCGGAGGGGGAGCGAGCCCAGCAGCTTGACCAACGTTTCTACCTACTGAAGCTGCCCATTGCAAGGGCAGCGATGGTCGTGGGAGGGTGTCTCCTGGTCTTCCCTTGTGTTCTAATTTTGGTTAGTGTTCTGCAGGTCCCGTGGCACTTCCCAGCATGGCTGCTAATTGAATGCACCTTGTACGTAGTGATTGCAGTTAGCACAGTGCCTGCTCTGTACTATTTCCTCCATTCTCTGCTGAGCGTTTATAATTCATCAGTGTGCAAAGAGAGAGAGCAGCTTTATCAAAGCAAAGGCTATCAGGGCTTCTGGTGCAGCTTGCATGGGGCAGAGATTGCTGCTGGCCTATTGGGCTGCATGGCTGCCATGGCATACCTGCTCAGTGCAGGCCTAGCTGTCAGAGATTACAGGACAGTTCATGAACAGAAACAGAAGCCACTGCAATTATAATAACTTTCAAATGATTCCTCCACTCCAGTCTTGATTTTTGCCAGTTTTACTGAGATGAAGCAGTATGCTTTCCTTTCTTCTGTAGCCTTAATGCTACAGAACACTCACCAAGCTAGCATAGCTCTAAATATGGTAGAGTCAGGTTATTCCTAACTTGAATTTGCATTATTGAGTTATTAGTGGCTCAAAGCTGATGCAATGGATTGTCTCTGCTTCACAGGCAGCCCTTCCATCCCACTCTCAGGTGTCCTCCAGTGAGGCCTTGCTACAAGTACTGCCACTACATGCTTTTGTCAATGAACAGCTTTTTGTAGCTGAAAAGCAGCTTTTTGTAGCTGTCTTTACAAAAGGCACGTGACTCTGCTGACAAAAGAGCTCTTAAAAACAAGTGACTGAGGCCCATGGTTGTGACGATTAAGCATTGCTTCCTTGTAGGTCTCTTGGAATTAACAGACCAGTGTGAACGTCACATTTACAAAGCCATGAAAATATCTTGAAAAAAACCTCTCAAACTCAGTCAAACTTGTGAGAAAATGCCTTTTCAAACTCCTGGAGAGGGTGCATTTATGTATGAAATGGTCTTTTTATATGACTTTTGTATACAAGAGTTTTGCTTAAAAAGATGTCCTGGATTGGGATAGTCAGACAAAAGCTTTATGAGATCAAATGGGTGATTGAATATAGAAGTATATTGTTTTCAAAATACATTTTCAATGTACAAGTTGGAGAAATGAGATGCTGCTCTTAATTTTTTTTTTTTTTAGAAAAACTTATAGGAAATTTAACTGGGAAAAGTAGCACTAGAATCACCAACTCATGTCTTAAAATAAAATGCCACTTCAGAGCAGTGTCCTCTGTGTGCATTGTTCATGGAACCACCGTAGTTTCACAGATGAGTTCTGCCCATATTAAAAAAACTAAACATACTAGAAACATGCTTTGCCTTGGACATACCTCTTCTTTCACTGGCACCAGTGACCAAATATCCTCACAATTACCAAAACCATGGAACACTAGAAACACTAAAGTAAAACAGATGCCAAGTACGAACACACTAGCTGCTTTGGGGTTTGTTTGATTTAGTTTGTTTTTAGTTCAAGTTTTTTTTTGCCTTTTAACATCAAGTGTCTTAGCACAGGGATTTACGTGGACAGTCCATTGTTGTCCTGTTTCTGTTAACATTTCTGTATTTCCTCTTGTTGCAGCTACTTCTAGAGCTGTACAGTGCTACTGAGAGCAAGTTCACAGGGCAGCATTCCTCTAGCAGGAAACAAAGCTGCCTTAATAATTGGTAAGCCTAATTCTACCCTCACAGTGTTCTGAAAGAAGTTTTTGTATGGAAGGCTGATGAGTGAAGTAGCACACAGAGCTCAGTGAATAACCTACAGCACAGCTGCTGCTAGACACAGCTGACTTTGACTGGGATATTGCAGAGATTTTTTTTCCAACACAGTAACAGAATCAGAATAAGCTGTTAGATGAAAGTAAAAATCTTTATTGCTAAGTCAGCTGAAAATTCAATGCAAAAATACTCTTCCTCCCTGAACCGCTCTATACATCTGAATAAAGAATCAGTGGACTAGTGTTTTCCAACAATCTTACGTTATTTGCCTTTCCAAAGCAATACATAGGCCACAGTGCTGAGGGCACATTCATTAGACAACCTACTCCCACACACAATAAAAACAGGGATCCTTATAGGTGCATGCTAGAGTGGGATACAGAAAATACTCTCCTTTTTAAAAACAAAAAAAAGCATGAAAAAGGATTATTTAGTAAACAGTTGGTACACTGCAATATTTAACATGCGCCAGATCATATGAATAATTTTAAAAAGTTAACATTTTAAAATGTGAAAAAAGAGGAAAAGTACAGTTGAGTCTTTAGAGAGCAATAGAACAGCAGACAATGATTGCACAAGACCAAAGAGGAGATCTGCCTGAAGCAAGGCCTTCGGCAAGTGACACAAAAGCCACCAGCATCTATCTGGAAGGAGTGCAGAAACCCCACAGGTCCAAAGCCTTAAGTGTGGCTGAAGGTCCTGTGTACTACAGGAAAGATTTCAGACTTCACAGCAGCTTGTCCCCGAGAGAGGGGAATACTTCCTCCTTCTTGGATCAGGATCCTCCCATCTAACTGAAGATTCCAGTCTGGTATGAACAGTCTGTGATGCTGCCTCCACTGGGGCCTGTTCCTTGTTCTAGGGGCAACTTGGGGGCTATCTCTTACCTTTAACACCTGAGACCCCGCTACCCACCAGTCAATACAACCCTTAGGGGTTCCTTTTACACAAGCCTTTCTGGACAGGACAGGACAGAGCAGTGCCTTCAGAGTACCTTTCTCAGCAAGCATGCTTATCAGCAGAGCCAGAATTACTGAAAAGATGGACCAGCAACCTCCTTGGCTGTGGCTGCGTGCAGCGTGGGAGGGCTTGCATTGCTCAGCAGGGACAAAATAGCCTGAGGACCTCAAGGTGAAAATCCCTCTCTAACAGCAAGTCTGCAAATGAGTGGGACATTCTCAGTGATGTGGTTATGTGATGATCACATAGTATCTCTGCAAACTCCAAAAACAAAAATTAGGGAAGAAACTGGAGAAGAGAAAGATAACTGGGAAGACACTTTCTGAAGACTGCTATGAGTCCTTCAGTAAACTCGCCCTTTCATACCTGTTCCACCTACAGCAGTGCTCCTTGGGAGCTTGAAATCTAAGGTAGTGTTAATAAATAAAGTAGGGGAGACACACAGGAGGAAGGAAAACAAAAGGTAGTGGAGGGAAGCACTCTGTTCTGAGAGTTGTTCTCACCAGACAGATGAAGATAACCCAGCCACTGTCTGACCAATGTCAGAAAAAACCCCTTTTCTTTGGATGACAGTGACCTTGAAGCATGTCTCAGCAGTTGGAATCTTGTGTTAGAAAATCCAAGACACTTGCGTGAAAAAAACTACGCCAGTGTCTTTGCTGACTCCCAAAACTGGCCTAGGAAAAAGCAGTACTTTTTGTGATGAACAGGCACTATTTTTAATGCATGAAAAAGATTTTGGATGACTGGAGAAAAAGCATCACAATGCTGTGGCTGAAGTGGAAAAGGAAAAGCTTAATCCTTGGAAGAAGCACATGGGAAATATGCAAAAGCTGCTTGAGGACACCAGCACTTGTCTTAGTCAAAAAGAGAAAGACTATTTGGAACAGGTAAAGTCAACTCAGCCTGTGCTGCCTGGAGTCCATAATACCAGCTTCACATAAATCTGTGGATTCTGCCTGGAATGTAAGAAAGATAACAAGCCATGTCTTCCATGACAGTTCACACCCATAGAAAATAGGAGCTGGCTGTATTTAAACTCCCTTTCTGCTTCAAAACCAGAGACAGCACTGGAGAAAAAGTTCAAGTAAGAATTCCTTCTGTTCCATTCTTTCACTACCTCTAAGAGGTGCAGTTCAGGAATCTGCATGCTCTATTGCAGATAGATGTGTTTTCCTTATTCCTTCAACACTGAGCTAGGAAGAGCCATTCATTACTAACTCCTTGTGGCAATTCTGCATGCAATACTATTGATTCAGACTGGCAAGGACACACTGGACTTTCCATATCAGTGCAAGAAATTGAGAACTGATTTGCATTCATACATGCTACTCAGAGTGCAGGGCTTGTCAGAGTCTTACTCAGAAATAAGGGTTTCTGCATCAGTCCCATACTGAATGGAGGCTGTTCTACAGCCCTTTCAGGTATCACAAACTGTGAGGCTAGGCACAGATTTTTGGTAAAATTATCACCAGTGACAGAATCAAAAGTTGCAGTTGAAAACATTGGAATGAACTTCTCCTGCATACTTACATGATGATAACATGAAAGAATTTTGGTGTTTAGCATTTGAATCTTTTCTGCTGCTTTTCCTCTGCATAAAGGATTTAAACACTGTTGTTTCTGTGATTTTAAGAATTAGCTTCAACCTCCAGTTCCAAATGGAATAGGCTTTTAAACAACCAAAATTGTGAGAGTTTAAACTTTGCAAAAAGTTGGGTTGTTTCATGATTACACTGCAACTAGCACAAAGTATATCCTAAAATGTTGCTCCTCATGCATGATATAAATACCTTTTCTTCCTAGTGATAAGAAATTCAGGGTGCTCTGGAATCTCAGTAAAACTCCATTAGATTTTGTGAAAAGATCTATATTGACAGAATTCCACAAATAGTCTGCACAGTATTTCCTTCTGAGCAAGGCCCAAATTTGATCCAAAAATAGACAACTCAAGCCCTTCAGATCTCTTCAGAAGAAATGTTTAAGTTTTCTTCATAAATGTATAATTAATGAAGAAAAGGCACTAGCCCACATCACAGTCAGGATTATTGCACCACTGACATGACAGGGACAGCTGCTATCCAGCTCTGTCAGAAAGGACGACAAATCTGCATGCTACAGAGGCAGTGATCTCCACAACTCTTATACAAGATGACAACATGGGCAGCCAACTTACAACCTGCACCAAAAATCCTAATGGAAACACAAGGCCTCTCAGTGCAGACTAGCAAGTTCATCATTAGTGGGACTGTTTTAAACTTCTTTTTCAGTGCTGATAAAAATGTTAATAAGATGAAAAGTTTAATTTTTGCTTTTGTGCTGAAGGCTAAGCAGGAACAAGTTTCACCTTGTTTGTGGCCAAATTGGGCACATACCATGAAATGCTGGTTGCTGTGGATTTGGAATATGACTCCTGCTTCCAGAGGCAAGCAAAGACACTGCAGCTGACAATGCAGAGGTTTATGCTGGATGGAAAAGAGCACTGGATGCTTCTGCCAGTCTTAGAGCAGCACACCACTGTTTACAGCTTGGCTCTTCTGACTGACCACTGGGACAAGCACAAGCTCCTGGCTTTATCCCATGTCTTCTGTAGAGGAAGCCTCTGCTGTGAAGCATCCATGATGAAGGTAGCCAGGCTGCTGCTGAGGTGGGTCTGTGCTCTGCAGCTAGATGCACTAGATATACATGTTGCCTTAATCAATCAGTCCTGAGCTGATCTTTCCTATGCTTCATATAAAATGCATTGTTTGGCACCTGCTTATCACTCAGCTATGTATTTTCTCATCCTGCACAGAATGATCCCACCATAACCTTAACTCTCCCCTACACCAGTGCTCATCAGAACACTGGTACCCTGAGTCCTCCACTGTCCTAAGAACATCCATTGGGAAAAGTCCACAGCATACCTGCTGCAGAGTGCTTTCTCCCCTAACCCTAAATAATAAAGTGCTGGGCTGAAAGGGAAATAACAGCTTAAGTGCAATAAATAAAAGTGCTAGCAATTAATGTAGGAAACCATTCTCAGGTCAGCTTCATTGCAACTGTCTGTATTCTTTCAAGGAATAACAAAGTCAGGTGCTGGGGGGAGGGTGGGACACTGCATCAGAAATATTCACAGGACTCTAAACACTGAGCATTTCTCTCTCAGCAGCCTCCTCACCCCCCCCCCCCCCCCCCCCCCCACACACACACACCAGCCCCTTTCCAGCAGAGCTGGCAGAACCTCAGGGTTCAAGGACTTACCAGACAGTCCCTAACACAGAGCTCAGCTGCTGATCTGCGTGCTCATAGAACAACTGAGATGCTATAGTGGTTAAGTGGGCAGCCCAGACATTGGCCTTCCTGATTCTTCCTCAACTTCATTAAGGAAGCAGCAGGTGTCTGTACTCCTTGCAGATCCCAGTTCCCTCAGAGGGCATGACAGCCCTTATTAAACAGAGCTTCCTGGGACAGATAATGTGGGAATGGTACTCATAGGGTTACAAAGCTGTATCAAACTCCTCTGGCAGGGATGCTGCATGTTCTTCTTTCAGCTCCTGATCTGCTCTATCCTCTTGGTGCTGCTTCATTTGTTCCTGCACTTCCTCTTCCAGATCAGGTGGCACCACAAATTGATCTTCTGGCTCCATCTGGGATGGAGCAGCAAAATAGCCTGTCTTCTTCTTGGGTGCCTCTGTCGCTACTTCGATGAGGTTGAGGCTGTCCTCCAAGGGCACTATGGAGCCATTGGAAAGCTTCTTTCCATAAAGACAACATGTGGAAAGAGATTTTTGGAGTTCACACTTCTCCTTAACCCCTCTCTGCACAGTGTTGCTGTTTACACTGTTCTGCCTCCGAATGATGAGTACAAGCCCAGAGTCATCCTCTGGCCCTGGAGCAGAAGAGCTGTACTCTGCAGCAGGATGTTCTAATTCCATACCCTTTCCTTTACAGCAATGGATGTCCACCTCTACCTCCACTTTACTGCCATTTGTCATCACACCTTCCACAGGCTGCTCATCATCACTATCTAGACCATTGTCAGACTGGTTGCTAGAGAAGGTGGCACTGGAAGGTTGGCGCTGAAAGATGCTTGAGGGGGGCACAGGATGTAGGCTGCAACGTCGTTCTTGTCGTGGTAGCAAGCTGCCATCGAGACCAACAGCACTGTGTTCATCTGATGCAGTAGAGCCCACCTCACTGCTAACCTCAGAAGCAGACAGTTCACTGCTGAACTCTGAAGCAATTCCACTGCTACATGAAGGTGTAGCTGGTTTGGTGGTGGTAGAACTAAATCCCCCAGGGCCTGTCAGAGTGAGGCCGTGCATCTCACACGTGCAGTTGTCCTCACTGATGTTCAGACATACCACCATTGCACCAACATTGTCTTGGCAACCATAGCTTTGTGCTAAAGTGCATAGTTTCTTTGCAGCAGCTAGTGGGTCGTGTAGGTGCCGCACAGCTGAGACAGCTTCTGCATAAGAAAGGTGTTCCCAGAGAGCTTTGTTCCCTAGAAGTAGCAACTCATCTTGTACAGTCAGTGGAACGGAATAGACATGCGGTTTGGGCAGGATCCAAGGATGCAGGTACGTGCAGCCCAGCATCCGAGTACAGCAAGTCACACCATTGACTTTATTGTCCTGCAGACAAGAGAAATAAGGCAGTAGCATTGGATGTGCTATTGGGATCACTTAGAAATCAAACTTTCCCCTGCTCATATGCTGGTTTGGAGCCTCGAGAAATGCCAGTTACACAGCTGCAGCATTGGAGAAAGGGATCTAGGTGCAGGTACTACAACAAAAAACATTCACTATACCTGATGACCAGGTACAATAACCACCATCAACCATGCTGGCAAGAACACTTTTATCCCACAAGACTTTTTGTTGCACTCTGAAGAATTGTAGCAGACAATTCTGAAATGTGCAGCTAGACTACCTGCAGTACACTGATCAGAGAGTCTCACTGATTAGTCTTATGTGAAACTTATTTTTTTTAGTACAAGACAGTGACTTTCAACTTTCTCAGTGCAAGACAGGTTACCCAGACATTAAACTATTTCTATGTATTATCTGAAGTATTTCCCTCTTTATTAATATATAACTGCATTCTGAAGTGTGGACACTACAACCCAAGGATAAAAAGAACAGGTAGGTATCTCAAACTGTTTCTGTAATCAGGATGTATTACCCCCTTCTGCTAGATGGTCTCCTGGCCAGCCTGGCAGTGGTCTCCCATAAAGAGAAGTGCCCACAACCCTCAGTCCTTTTCCCAAATCAGTGTTTTGAGTTTAATTTCAGTATTCTTAATTTCTGTATCCTCTGGGTGTCAGCACTGCTGCTGCCGCCAAGTATTAAAACCCAGCAGATGAGACGCACAGGGAAGTCTCTTATACAATAATTTCACATTTCTTTTTCAGAATCCATTAATGAGCCAGTTTTTAAACTATTTAACGTGAGACATTAATCCCACAGTTATTTTCAGTCAGTAGCCACAGTGCTAAGCCTTGAAGAGCTGTAACACAGTGACCCATTATCAGCAAATGAAGCAGAGCAGGAAGCACTAGATCAGGACCTTCATGTCACCCTCTCCCCTGTAATGTTATGCAGACAGCTGAGCTCATATATTTGTGCCCAGCTTTTAAGTTAGTGTGGAAGCTGAAGTGAAAAGGGTCCAAACCAACCTCTGTTATAATGGCTTTTTGTTCCTTGACTCTCCTGGCTTCTTCTGAACATTGTTCAAGACTGAAGACTTTGGAGAGAGGCAGTGCTTTTCCACTTCGGCACAGAACGGCTTGGCACGTCCCCACGTTGGCCACCGTCAGAGAAAAGTTGCTGGCTGGATCAGCCACCTCATTACGAATGTAGCAAAGGACAGCAGAGGAACCCAGCTTCTGCCCAGCCATGCCCAGCTTCCTGTTGGAGGAGAAGGTGTAGGAGGCTCCAGACTCTACTGACAGGCATTCTGGAGGGCTGCCTCACCCCAGCTAACATTGATATACCTTATGCAAGTCCCACCAAGACCAGCCTGCTCACTGTCCTACCTGTGGGAGACCAAGAAGGTGTTGGACATGAACATGGTGTCAGACTGCTGTACCTCCTCCAGGAGCACATCAGCCATGGTGCACTGCAGCAAACGTGGCAGTTCTTCATTCTTGTCACCATCAAACATGCCATACACAGCCTCCACCCCCTCTGCAAAGCTCCCCAGTGCCAGGGATGACACACACAGCCTGTCAGAAAAGCATACAAGCTAAGTTAATATGTCTCAAAAAATGATCTTGTTTTCAAAACCACAGCCATCAGGCACCTTGCTGTGAGTGCCATTCTCACAGGGCAGCAAAGCCACTATCCCTACATTCACTAGCCTGGGAGATGTACAGCTGCATTTCATTATTGGAACTCCCAAATCCTCCTTGACCACATGCAGGAGAGGGCCACAGGCACAGCTGGCAAGAGAAAAAGCATCTTTGCTGCAGAGGGAAGGAGAGTCCAAGTGTACTGGGAGAAGTGTGAAAGTTGAGGCAAAAGGTAATGTGGAGACATGAGTTACCAAGATTTAGTAAGAGATCCAGAGAGAAAAAGGGAAGGATGAGCTCTTGGGCAAAACAGGTCTGCTTGAGTGCTCAGCAGTGCACTCTGCCCAGTATCCTGAGAAGACAGTGTCAGTGTTCAGCAGACCATAATACTCACTTATTTCTTTGGCCTGCCATCTCAGCTACTCCGTGACTCCAGAAGACAGAAGTGAGTGCCGAGTCTGCCGTGAGGGAGGGCTTAGCATCAATCTTCAGTGTGCTAATGTGACTACAGAGAGAACAGAAGTTATGCTTTTCTAGAACCTGCTGAACAGGCCTTAGGACCTTGTCCAGTCTAGTTTTAGACAGCAGTCTGTGTAAAGAACTGCATCAAGGAAAGGAGTTTAAGGTGTAGGTCTTCTGGAGATGCCTGGCTGCTTATGCCAGAGACACCTGGGAAAACTTCATACCATCTGAAAAATTCCTTGCTCTGATGTTTCAGACCCAGACTTTTCCCTTCCCAAAGACAGCTGCCTCAGGCAGGGAACATTATTCCACCATGCAGTGATAAAGTGCTTTTACTTTACTATCCCATTTCCTCTCCTGGCAAGAGTTACCCTTCCCTGTGCAGGTCACTACTGGGTTGACATGTCAATGGCTCACCTGAAGATATCCAGTGTCTTGTGTTCTAACACCAGGTTTGTGTTTCCACTCAGATCCAGCTCTTGCAAGGCACCTGGCAGTGCCTCGGGGATTAGGATTTCTGTTAACTCATTGCAGCTCAAATCCACAAACTGCAGTAGCAACAAACAGCATGACAAAGAAAATACTGTGTTGTGTTGTGTCATCAGTTACTCCAGTGCTCCTTACAAACATCATACAACCCTGCTACTTATTGTATCTCACACACAGGTTATGGAAGTGGATCTGACTTGTCAGAAGAACGATTTATAAGCAACCTGTAATAGCCATGACTCCAATACTGAAAGACTAGGTCACACCAAAGATAAAGGAAAGCCTCTATATGCAAACCTGCCTAGCTATTTAACACTGCCCACTGTCTCAAATGCAAGCAACCAGAAATGTCAGAGACAAGGGGTAAAGGTGACATGATCTTTGTTCAACTCAGAAAGGTGAGAGATCTAGAAGGCATATTGTGTGGCCTCTTCTCGGGTTGATCAAGCAAAATCATAGAGCCACAGAATATCTGTGCTGGAAGAGACCTTAGAGCTCATTTTTTCAACACATCTACCATGGGCAGGGACACCTTCCACTACAAGAAGTTGCTCCAAGACCTGTCCAACCTGGCCTCGAAACTTCCAGGGATGGGGCAGCCACAGCTTCTCTGGGCAACCTGTGCCATGGTCTCCCCACCCACACAGGGCAGAGTTTCTTCCTAATATCCAACCTAGACCTACTCTCTTTCACTTTAAAGCCATTCCCCCTTATGCTGTCAACCGATGCCTTTGTCCAAAGTCCCTCACAAGTTCTCTTTTAGTCACTTTAGGTAATGCAAGGTTGCAATAAGGTTACTCCAGACCCTTTTCTTCTCCAAGCTGAACAACTCCAAACCACTCAGCCCATTGCCACAGCAGAGATGCTCCAGCCTTCTGATCATCTTCATGGACTCCTCTGGACCCACTCCAAGAGGTCTAAGTCCTTCTTGTGCTGAGGACCTGGGTGCAGCCCTCCAGGTGGGATCACATCTGAGCAGGGCAGGGGGGCAGAATCCTCTCCTTACCTGCTGTCTATGCCACTGGGGATGAGCCCGGGATGTGTGGGGGGTTTCTGGGTGCCAGCACATATGGCCAGGGCATGTCCAGCCTCTCATCCAGCAGCATCCCCAAGCCCTTCTCAGCAGGGCTGCTCTCGACCATTCATGCCCAGTCTGGATTGATACCAGGGGCAGCCCTGACCCAGGTACAGCACCTTGCACTTGGCCTTGCTGGGACCTCCTGTTCTCTCCTAGCAGTTACTCATTCTATAGCCCAAACTTTACCCAGATATCTCTTTATCTTCTCCATACAAATACCTGAATACGGGGCAAATGAAGGATTTCTGGAAAAATGCTGATTTCATTAGAGTGTGCAATAAGCGTATGAAGTAGCTTGCAGTTTGCAACCGTTGTAGGAATTGTTTTCAGTTTGTTTCCACTCAGATTCAGTTCTTCCAAGTGCTCCAGCTTACTAAGTTTGCTGAAATGGAAACAAAAAAATACTGTATCTTACAGACATTGTAACTTTCTGAAGTTGCAGATGAGGTATCTACAGACACTGCCCTTGATGAGCTACTTTTCTGATTTACTGACAGGAGATCCAAAGTCCTAGGAGATGCTCTAGTAAGATGCAGGGTCCCCAAGCCTGGCTTGGATTTGTACAACAGACAGACCCTTCACCATCAGTGCTGAAGTTGCAAAGAAATATCACCCCATCCCCACACATATGCAACACAAGAAGTTACATCCCTTGGTCCCCCTGGATGGCACCTTAACTAGAACAGGAAAACCTACAGACAGCACTACCCTGTGCCAATCCCCCTTAACAAGTTTCTCCTCCTTTTGTGTGTAGAAAATGTCAGGTTTTTGTCTTCAAGCCACAGGGAGAGCATCTCACTCTGACTTTGACTCACATACAATCATGGGGAGGTGGCAGCTTCCTCCCAGCATTGTCTTGCCTAACAGCCTTACTGACTTACCTTGCAGGGAAAGTCTGCAGGTTGTTGTTTGCCAGATGCAGGATCCGTAGGTTTGGGTGTCCCACCAAGACAGGGATGCATTGATCTGTGAGGTTGTTATTAGTCAAGTATAGCAGCTGCAGCATGCTCAAACTCTCCTCCCCCGGACACGTGGAGGGCAAGGACTCCAGGCTGTTGGCAGATGCATTCAGGTACCTGAGGCTAACCACAGCAAGTGCAAGAATCAGACTTCACATCATCCAAACCACTCCATTAACATGGAAAAGGAGCTGTACAAATGCCAGTGTAGACAGCAGTATGAGACAGGAGGCCAGACAATACTGTAACATCCCTAGTCATATTAAGCTTAGCTTAATTAAAGCACCTGAGTTGCATTTAGGGGATGCAGGGTAGTGGCCTGCGGACTTAAGCAGAAACTAAGAGGGTTTAACTCTTGTTTAAGGCTTTGAAGGCCTTTGGTTTAGGTAATCCTAAGTTTCTTAGACAATGGTAAGGATTATAGGGGAGATAGGAAGGAGTATGACAGACATGGTGGTTAAGATAGCAATTGTGATGCTGGTTGGTTTGTTAGTGCGTCATTGTTTTATGTGGTTTGTAGTGTGCGGGGGGAGTGTGATAATTGTGCAGTGAGTCTACTAATGACTTACTAGCTATATGCACTGTGGATGCATTTTTACAGTAAACAGTGAGTACTGAAAAGCCCATGGGTAATACTGGTGGAAGCAGACAACATAAAACTTTACTTAAAGAAGGGCTTCTTTAAAGAAGGGCTAACTCCAGTGTGAATACAGTTAGGAGAGACTGTTCATTTGTAAAGGGTCTCTCTTGTTGCTCTCGAATGACCTGAATCTAACTGGCTTCTTTTCTTTGCACTTGAACTTATGACTACTTTTAAAGACAAAGTTCTTCTGGCAGCTTCTGTTTTCCTGTAATTATACAGTAACATGGACTGATTCCTTCGAATCAGCTTGATGGCTTCCCTTATGGCACCTGAATAACCTCCTCACCAAGAGCATACCTCGTTATCTCTTATGCAAATGGAACCTTGCAAGGACAGTCACACAGGTGCCACTTTCAGCCCATACACTCCAAAGGATAATGCGGACAAAAGATGTTTGATACTGACACTCACTTCAGAGCTTTGACAAAGAGTGTCTCTGGGAGTTTAGTCAACAGATTGTGCTGAAGGTCCAGCACCTCCAGTGGAATGTGTTCTTGAAGAGGTGGAAGGCTCTGCAGATGATTGTGCCCCACCATCAACTTCCGAAGACTTAAGCTTCTGAGGATCCTAGAAAGACACAGGGTTTTCTATTTAACTTGGTTCATTCCTCTTGACATTCACAGAGTGGGAAAGGTAGTATTTAATCCACTTAATTTGCTTGTACAACAGGGAAAAATTAAAATACACCCATCCATAAAATGGAAACAATTATAAAGCAGAACAACACACAGGGTAAGATGACTCAAGTTTCTCTGAATGCTTGGGTGCGTATCTTCGCTTCCCTCTACACTACTACTCTTTGGTATCTTGTGGTTCGAGTTGGTGTGCATGTGCCCAGCATTCTCTCAGGCAGACAAAGAAAGAAGTCACAAAGGAATGCTTTAAATGCCTGTTGTCTCTTGTAGGTAGAAAGATGTGCTTCCACAGTGCCAACATAAATTCAAAGCTTTAACTAGCGGCTTAACACTCCTGTATTATTTCCGAGGCAGTAAATTATTCTTTGCATAATATACTTAAAATTTGGTCCCTTTAATCCACTGGATTGGCTAAAATTCTCTTCTAAGTTCTCACCATCACATCCTTGCTGTGTCCTTTTCTTGCTTTTGATGTATACAGTTTTTCTGTGGCAATCACTGGAATGTCACTGCTGTTCACCTCCTATGTCTCTTGCTTCAACTTCTCCAACCCATGTTCTGCATTTCTTCCCTGTTAACCACTTCTCCATTCAATTTTAGTGCAACTTACCCCAGGCACTGTGTCATTCATCAAATCACAGCCCCATCAAACACCCTTATTAGGCTGAGAATGTTTATGGTTTGCTTCTTCCTAGGCTAAATAACTGCAAAATTGTATTAGTTCTTGGCTCTCATTCACTGCATTTCTGCAGAAACTGAAAGGGAAATAGGGAGAAAGGAGCTGGCTGATGGTGTACTGTGAAAGCTACATTTGAGATCAGCTGAATTGTCCCTTTGTGATAACTGCCTGTCAAAGGTAACAGATGAAATTTCTGTGGCATGATGCAAAATGTATTAGGGTCTCACCTATGACCTGTGTTTACAGACAGTATGATGACACATATAAATCACAGCAGCATGTTCTATGCCAGGTGCAAACAGCTGCAGTAGCAGCCGAAAGCACAGGACAGAATTACCTAGCCCCTACTGTTCAAAATGCTGACCTAGAAACTGGTTCTTTCCAACATTTGAATGCAGAGAATTTATGATGCTACATAGAAAAAGTAAGTGAGAGTAAGTATCTCGACATAACAAGGAATTAAGCAACGGGAATAGCACTGCTTTTCTCTTCCCAGACAGCCCATTGTAGAAAAAAGCTCAGCTCTGTTTACGAAGGTTTTCTGACCTCGATGGAAGCTCCAAGAGTAGATTGTAGCTCACATCCAAAACTTCCAGTTTCTTTGCTTCACAGGCCCAGTCTGGGACACACTGTAGTTGATTGCTGAGAAAAGCAAGTGGGAAAAGCTAGAAACCAGCACTCCATATGGAAAAGACTCTGAATGCTGCATGATTTTAGTGACAGCCAAACCAAAAGCAACAGGCAAAAAATGAACAGCATCTGAGTTAGTCACGGATAATGCAAACTGAACTGGCTCATGACTTGGCAGGGCATCCTATCTTACAGGTCTCACAATGCTGCTCCAAGGGCAGGTGTAGGCAATGAAACCAACAGCAGAGATCACTTGGAACTACTCTAAAGATTTGATCCACAGATCCCCCCCCACTCAGTTCAGTAAGCTGCCAAAGTTCAGTGGTCCCTGCTTGGATTTTTTTTTCCTAATCACAGCCTACAGCTGAAGGACAGCGAAGTCACCTGAAAAGGTCATACTGGTTCAGAAGGGCTTCTGGTCTGGGACACTTTCATCATTGTTTAGTGCTGGGCTTTGAAGTTCTATTGTTTTTAATTGCTCTCAAGATGTCCAGATACTTGCTTTAAATTCTGTTGTGTATTATCACTTACTGAGAGAGTTCTAGACATGTCAGTAGACCAGGAACCGGATAAATATTGACAGCTGTCAGACCTGATGAAGTAAAGCAAATAAGTATGATTGCAGAGCTTCAGAGAGAAAACAGCACAGAGATGCAGCTTAGTTATCAAATGAGACTCACAGTCTTTCTTTATGGAGACTCAAGGTCCCCATTGATACTTCCCATCACGGAGTTCACACTTCATACATCTACCATATGACACACTATAGTGTCTCACTATCCAGTTCTCCATCTGTCATGTGGAGCACCAGAACAAGGGAGAACTGTACTTTTCTTTGTGGGCTCCCAAACAGATCTCAATGGAACATGAATTCCTTGGATATAACACTACAATCTCCACACTGTTACACAGCCTATGTGTGACCCATAGGAGCTAACCTCAGAGGACCCATTGCATATGGTTTCACCACAATGACATCAACATAAGTATTTTTTTAATGCGTGAGAGAGGACAAAAGGCTGTTTTCCTTTCCTCTCAGGGCTTAAAGGGAAACGGCAAGTGAAGAAGACAAAGAGACATACAGTTGCTGTTGGCATACAGGGCCCGAAGGGAGAAGCCGCTCAGAGTCAGCTCTCTCAGCTTATTTCGCTCGCAGTGCAGCTGCTCCAGGCTGACCAAGGAGCTCAGATCCAGATCTGTCATCTGATTGTCTCGTAAATCCATGTAAGCCAAAGATTTGTTCCCCTCCAGAGTGTCAGCTGCTGCTCTCTTCAGGTTGTTCAGCCTAAACACTCAGAGATGAGTTAAAAAGTCAGAAAATAAGACACTGAACACTGGACATTGGTAAGAGAGAAGAAAGAAGAGGAAATGAAGAATTCTGGTGAAGGCTAACATCAGAGGTGAGCACAGTGAATGAAATGTGTGACAAGCAATGGCAAATTTCAGGCAGTGAATACAAAGAAAAACATTTTCTTTGTCTACACTGCTACACATAATCATTTTAATGATTCCCAAATTTTTAAGAGATTCTGAAAAAAGACCCAGTCTAGAAAACAGAAACCAGGTCAAGGGGCAGCTACTCTGCATGGACACAGGAAGCTAATGCAGAGAACAGATACTAGACTGCCTTGCCACACACAAAAAGATCTTTGTCCCTTTCTGAGAGATCTGCAGTTGGCAGCCTGGAGAATCAGGATCACATCTCTAGGGCAGGGAGGCAAAGAAGGGAAGAAGAGAACAAGGTTTGAGTACCTTGAGCAACCAAAGCTCAACTAGAGCTGGAAACTAGAGAGCTGGGTCACATTCAGCATCTGGCACTGCTCAATTAAGCTTGCTTTTCCAAGTGGATTCTGCACACCCTCAGAAACAGAACTCCATAAAAGCTAAAGAACCAGTAAGAGAAAAAACTGAACCTAGTTATTATAGCAAAATGTACCAGAAGTTGCACAGATCCTCTGCTGTAAATGGAAAGTACCAATCTATTTTATAGACACCTGCCAGTTTCACCCCTTACCTCAGGTCCACACTTTTGATGTGACCCATGCGGTTCAGCACTGTCAGGTCCAGGGTCTCTATCAAGTTCCCTGCCAGGGCTAGTTTGTCTAAGGTGACAAGTTTCTCACAAATTGCTGGCAGTTCACAGAAGTTATTGAAGGAAAGCCCAAGACAGCTGAGCTGCTGCAGGTTTCCCATCTCTTCTGGTAAGGATGTGAGGAAATTGCCATCAAGACAGAAGGTCTGGAGACTGCAACAGTGAAAAAGAGAAAGAAAATACTTCTGCAATGAGCAGTGAACATCACATTTCGTATTTTTAGTGAATTTTCTCATATAGTTAGCTGATCTCAATGTGGTTATTTTTAAATAACAGCTAATTTTATTCTTATACACATAAATTTACTGAAGTACTTTTATCACACATGTAATAGGCTTGGAACTTCCAGTTGTGCCAAAGATTGTAAGTTAACATAAGCAAAATACAAACCAGTACTTACACTGTAAATGAAAGATATTTACTTAATTACTTAATTTTCTACAAATGGCACAGTTTAATCACACTTCCTACCACATTAACGCCCTAGTAGAAGATTTTTACACTCCAGTTGTCCGTTCCAACACACACTCAGAAAAGAATAAGGTAGCTCTGTTGTATAATGAATTGTTTCAAAGGTTGTATGGCTTTTGAGGCTCAGATCCCAAGTATACAATTCCCTTACTATGATTATGTTCCAACAGAGATCTTTCTGTGTTTAGTGGTGGTAGAAATTAAATCCAAGGCCACAAAAAGTTCTTATGAATAAAGGCTCAAGGAGTCATCAAGATAACTGGACCCATAACTATACTATAAACCTCCAGGAGGTGTATGCCTACATATAACTTTATCCTCACAGTTTGCATATGGCTAAAAGATTATTGAGGAAATTACTTGTTCACATCCAGTGTGGCTGCAGACATGCCTTTTTTAAAGATACAAGTTGGAGGGAAAGAAGTCCACAACAAATCAACAGTTCAATATTAATGTTTATCCATATGCACATTTAGATAAACATCTATTGATGTTTATCTAAATGTACTAACAGTCTTGCAATTAAATTTGCCTAAGCTTAAGCTCTTATGCATTTGGGGCAGCTACTGGGGAAAATGGACAAGGCTCCAGCAAACACTTTAAGACAAAATTTTCAGAGGGGATTGCTCAAGTTTTTTCATGTTAAAATCCTCTAACACAAAAGCAGCTAAATCTGTAGAACACAATCAAACATACCAGTGCTGACAAAAATCACTAGACCCCTGTGAGAAGTTATCACAGAAAAGTTTTTACAATAAATTAAAACTTCAATAGAAATTACATCAGTACTGAAAATATTAAATTCAAATAACAAATGCAGAAAGTCAAACAACTCTGAAGCTGGAGAAAAATGCACATAGACTTATTTGAGAAACAATGCAGTTGCCTTCAGTGCTTTACCTGTATCAAGTTTCCTTATGTTTTCTGTGCTAGCAGTTGTGATGTTTTCCTGGTAGTGATTAAGGGATTGCACATCTTAGTTCTTGACCTTCTGCTGGAGTCAAATTAATCATTCAGCCTTCATGGATATAACAGGCTGCCCTAGTTTTTTGTTTTTTTCACACTTTCAGAAACAGTAGCTGCACATCAGTAGTGCTCAGCTGAGGCACCAAGGGTACTTATGATCACAGATGTAAAGAACATACTCACTTCAACAGTTTGCCAATCTGACTTGGCAAGTAATGAAGTCCATTACAGGAAATATTAAGCTCTGTCAGAGTAGAGATCTCACACAGTGATACAGGAAACTCTCCCAGTCTATTATGAGACAAGTTCAGACTCTTCAACTGAGAAAACCTATTAGCAAGAACACTAGTTAATGCACAAAATACATGTCTAAAAGCAAAAATACACAAACCAGTCACAAAGAATTTTAAAGTATTTGTACACTGGTGATACAGTCAGCTAACTCATTACAGGAGTCTCTGCATAAATTTGGGTTTAAGTCATTGATATTCTTCTCAACTGTCATGCTGAAAGTGATCAAATACCACGGGTTTACTGCAGCAACTGATAATGACCTTCTACACCGACCTAACAAGCTTCGTCCTAGTGACTGCTACTAAGATTAAGGTGAATAAAATGCTCAGTTAAAAAATTTGGCTTAGAAGAATTAACTACAGTAAGAGTCTACAATTATGTAGCTTGGGAAAAGAGGAGCTGAAAACATTTACTAGGACTATTCTGAGAATAAAACAGAAAGCCAAGCCAAGCTGTAAAAGGGAAAACTAGGAAAGCGCTTGCTTCATGCTGGGAAGCCCAAGAGCTGCACCCAGAGGTCCTGGAACAAGATTGCACAGCCACAGTGCTCCTTGCTCAGCAGACTGCATGGCACACACTGCCCCAAGAACAGGCAGCCCCACAGTCACCACAGCCCCTCCAGTGCCTGCAAAAGGGTTACCTAGCTCTAGCTCCTTCAGCTAGCTCCAAAGACAGAGAAGGAACTTAGCATGGCCGGGGTAACACACAGCAGGGTTCTCCTCCAAGAGTTCCTGCCTCCTTCTACAGGAAGCAAAAGTATTGTTCCCCAAGCATTGTTCCCTCTTCATCCCAAACTGGAACCACCAAAAATTAATTCAGTGGGGAAATTAGTATCTCATTTCAATGAGATAACTGCACATTTCATGTACCAGAGAACTACTTCTTGGAAACATGCAGTTTTTCATCTGCCTCCCCCACCTGACTTTTTCCAGGCATTGGTGAGTAGCTCTTATTTTGAAACAAATGTTCTAATATCAGTAACAAAACCAAGGTTAATTAGCTTGAGGGAGAATATTACTTCTAGCTTGAGATGCCTTGAAATATAGAACTGAAAGGTTTTGGAGTTGTTTTCTTCTTTATAGTGACGTTTTTTGGATTCAAAATACTTGTAATGATCTGTGTAGGAATTATGCATAATATTCCTCCATGCTTTATAACCTTGGGGGATGTTATTCTTTTGAAAGAGGGAGCATAGCTGAAACTTGGATATGAGTTGTTTGCTTTGAGCACCCCATCATATGAATAAGGGCACAGGCATTTTTGTTTGCTACAGCCACAGACTCTCTTGTACTGCAACTGAAAGCCAAAGAGAAAAAGATGCTATGTTGGTAAAAGCCTTCCTCAAAGGAAGGATAATGCAAAGGCCTAACAATGATACAAAAATTAGAAACTTGCACACAAAACTCCATCATAGTATTGGAAAAGAAGGAAACAATGAGGATGAACCTAAAGATTTTAGCAATCTCATTAGCTGGTTCAACTTGAGGAGATTTAGGACAGGTCATGGCTCTCAGGGTTTGAAATCAGCAAATGCTTTAATAAAACTGCTTTCTCAGGAGTTCTGCAATGGCTTTTGCGGCACCTGTTCTTAGTGCCAAGCAGTGTTTCCTCTCTCTAAGAGCATAGTGAGCAGCTGCTCTGAGAGACGCAGCATTAAACACAACAGCACAACTAATGTTTAGAATTCATCCCTCTGCAAAAATATCAAGGCAAGCACAAGAGGGGCATTACAGTTTCCAAAAGCTGAAGGGAAACTGGTATATGACACAGCTTGGTCTGAGTTTCCTCACGCAGACTTCCATACTCAGTGGGGAGGACAGTACTCTAAAGCCTTTTGAGCTCTCCTTCTGTTCCTTCTTCTTTGCCTCAGTAAGCTCATGTAGTGATGTAGGAGTGGAGTGGAGTGGAAATGCAACTCTCATTCAAGCTGTATATATGAACCAGGTATTATAAGGGATAAAGATTCCAAAATCGTTGTGGCTCCTCAGGTTATGGTTTCTGCTCTCACAGGGCATACTGAGACAACAAAGAAGTATGGAAACACAGCAGTGCATCTTCCATGGCATTGCCATGTGACCGTGTTCACAGGGGTTCTTGGATGAGGGAAGAGACAAGAATGTTGACTCCATGTTCAGAAGGCTTGATTTATTATTTTATGATATATATATATATATATATATATATATATATATTACATTATAACTATAATAAAAGAAAAAGAAGGACAGGTTTTCTCAGAAGCTAACTAAGCTAAGAATAGAAAACAATGATAACAAAGGCAGCTCTCTCAGACTCTGTCCAAGATAGCTCGGTCCTTGATTGGCCATTAATTATAAACATCCAAGATGGGCCAATCACAGGTGGACCTATTGCATTCCACAGCAGCAGATAACCATTGTTTACATTCTGTCTCTGAGGCCTCTTAGCTTCTCAGAAGGAAAAATCCTAAAGAAAGGATTTTTAGTGAAAAGATGTCTGCGACATTACCATCCTCTGTTTAGCAGCCCAAACTGGTGCTGCCCTGAAATATTCCAAGTTTAACACATCCTGTTCTGCCACCAAAGCACACCAGCACAAATATGTATCAACTAGCTAAAATGCTGACAAGAGACATGCAGATGTATACATGTGTGTGCACACACATGTATCAATGAAGACCAGATCTCAGAGTTTGTCAGATAAGGGAGATGCTTGAAAGGCACTAGAATCCATAAAAAATAAACTAGGCGATGTAACAAAGCAGTTAGGGCTATTTGATGCTCTTTGCTTAACATTTTCCCTTTAGCCAGTTATTTTTGCTCCGTTACTATAGTTATAGGTAATTAGACTCCTAGAGCTTGAAGATCTCAGAGGAAGAGATCTGATCATTGTGAAAAATTCTGCTGTTGGGAATTGACAGTCTCAATGCACTGAGAGCACCTACTGCAAGTGAGCAAGGATCTTCTTGTGGTGCTGTAATCTTAGAAGCATCCTAAAAACCTCAGATAGAAAATCTTTTCAAAAGGCAATGAGCAGCCTTATGTGGGCAACCTAATGCTATCTGCTTATTCAAGATTGTGTGAAGTGAGAGCTTCTTTTATGGCTTTTGTTTGTTTGCGGATTTCAGCTTCATCAGACAGTCACTGCCAGGAAAAGAGTTGAGTTTCTGACATGTCAGATTTCTTGTTGACTACATGCAAGGTCAAGAGAAATTTCAAGCCCCTTTCTGATCCTGTGAACCAAGGATACTCCATTTTAGAAAATGAAGTTCTGATGTGCTTTTCAAAATCATACAATGTAGCTGAAGAGACAAGTAGAAAGCAAAATCTTAAATGATTTTAAGCAGCTTCTCCGGTAACAGAATCTATTACAATTCAGCATTAGAAAACTTTTAAACAAATTTGGAAAACCAGACTAAATTCTGGCTTGCAAGGAAACTGCAAAGAATTCCCAAAAGTGAGCAATTTTTTTTTCATTGTATATTCTCATAGATACCTGGGCGTCTCATTACCCTAGAGGAAGAAAAATTAAATAGCACAGTAGTAGGCCCCTAGAGACAAAGAAAACAAAAATAAAGCCTTCCCCACCCCACCCCACCTTGAAAAAAAAAAAAAACCCAACAAACCAAAATGACAAAAACAACCAAACCTCAAAACCACAACAACAAACCAAAACAAACAAAAAACCAAAAAGCAGTTTTGCAAAGTTTCTCCACATACATTTTCCTTAGGGAAATGTATTCCAAACAGAGCCATTGGACAATATTACTATAAGCTTCCTAACAGTTTCCAAAACTCATAGAGCAACTCCTTGAATTCTGTTTAGCATGGCTGGTATTCATATCAACAGACTAATCTCCCTCTAGATTTGTATGATTTTGGGAAATTAATTTAAAAATATTTTTGTAAGACTCCTTCACTTACCTAAGATGACTACATCATGCTTCCATACCATCACACAACTGCTACTCTCTTAAAAGCAGATCATCACAAGTTTCCAAAGCAAAGCTGGAGTCTCACAGGCCCTCTGCCAATTCCAAATACACATTAAGAACTTGCCGAAACAAGGTTTTTCAGACCTAAACTTTTTCCTACAAACTTATTCACAGCAGCAGCATTATGCTTTTCCTTGCTTTTTATTTTATACCCCAAGATGGTCTCTGCTTAGCAAGCAGCCTAATATTACTATTGCATCTTGTCCACAGAAATGGCATGTCACCCCACAAGGCTTATCTCACATCAGAGTTAGCACAGAATCTGTGGAAGGGAGCTCATGAATACTATAAATTGTTGGAAGTTTATTCCTGCTTGTGCTGCTCAGTTCTGCTTCCAACCCCCTCACTTGTTAGAGCTTCCTAAAGATCAATTTTTTTACCATCCCCAAGAGAACAGGCAATACTTCATTTCTGTATCCATATGTCAAGGACTCCAAATGTAGGAGAAAAATGATTCTTTGCAGACCTGCAAAGAGAGTCAAGACTCCCTGCTCCACTTGTTCTCATAAAATTGTGACGTAAGTTGAGGTAGGTGATATCTTGACTGTAGAAGAGGTGCTCTGGTACTTCCTCAAGGCTGTAGCATGAAAGATCAACCATGCTAAATCGCATAGACACAATCTGAAAAGAAAGAGAAAAAGCTGCAGCTGTGCAACAAATTTTCTCTGGAAGTCTAATGGAAGACCAAAGAATACAAGTAATAAACAATTTAAAAGAACATGAAAGAACCCCTTGTACCTACCAGGTAGAGTCCATGTAGGAAATGGGAGTCCATGAAGTACAAGCCTATGCCCTTTGCTACATCCCTGACAAGGATGCATAGCTGGATACCAGCCAGGATTCACACAAAGCCCTGCTCTGTATGTGCACTGGGCACACTGCCTAAAGGCAAGGCTGTAAGAGAGCCAGGGTAATAGAGGAAAACGGATCTTTCAGGAAACTCTATTGAGAAATCTCAAGTGCCTTCCAAAGGTGCAAGAAGCAACAGGAAGCAGCTGATTTTCCAGTTCAGTTCTGTGAGGTTTACAGAACCTCTGCCTAGCATAGCTGCTTCTTCTGTACTTCTAGGTACTTCTTTCTTTTATTAGCTTGTGGAGAGTACAAAATTTGAAACATAACTTGTTATAAAAAGGCTTCATAAATTATGGTTTTGCAGCATTTCATAAAGTCTCTGCAAATCTCATGTCCTTTCATAAAGTATGTTTTGTCTTGAGGTCTTCGGTGATTAATTTGACATTTTATGACCTGCTTTACCCTGAACTCATTTTGTATTTCTTAATATCCTTGCTGACCTACAATGTCTCTGTATCTCAAACCTCAAGGCAGCCCTGTGTATGTTCAGGTCATACTTCGAGCACATTCAAGTAGGGCAAATGCAATCTGTAGGTTTCTATGGCTGTAGTCAGCCAGTCCCTGAGGTTTGCTCTAGGGACCTGTGATTAAGTTAGTCTTGTAGGTGCAGCAGAGGTTAAAACAGCACAGAACTACTGCTCAACAATGTTGCACAGGTAGAGGAAAAGAGAAGGCTAAGAGAAAAATCTCTGTAGCCCAGAGCATGAAGGAAATAAAGCTGGAAAATGTCCTGGGTACTTTCTCCAGCATCATAGCATCATCTCTGACTGCAGATCAAGCTTGCATCATAATAACCTTCCTGTGGTGTACCCTGTGGTAGGTAAGGGACAGGCGTTCGGAAGATTTTGGGCTGTGACGGAAAATTACAGGACTCCTTCTGCCCCTCTCCCCAGAGATAAGGATCACCCTTGGAATGTAGCCAAACGTGTAGCCCCCCTAACCTATGGATGCCAGTAACTTTCCACTCCATACTAACCCTAGAAAGTATAGCCAAACCCCTTTCTGACGTAGAGAAACCCCTTAGTCCATAAATACCCTTGAGACCCCTCAATAAACGCCTTTAACCGTCCACCACATTGGTGTTAGCGGCCGTTACTGGCCCCGAGGGATCCCAGGGAGAGATCGCCGTGCTGGACTTCGAAACCAAGTCACCGCTGCCTTCCCAAGAAGGCAACAGTACCCTGCACCCACATCCAAACCACAGTGTCCCCATGGCCTCACCGTGGATGCCTGCCGGTGCCACCGCTGGCACTCTGCCAGCGTTTCAAAGGAAATGTGGTAGGTCTGAGCTTGCGCTCCAGCAGATGTGAAAGCAAGGGTGTACTGCCGACGTTTCATCTCTTCCACCTGCGGAGGGAGAATTGACAACAGCAGTCTGCCTAAGAGCCAGCAATGACAACTACTTGAAGTCTAGGGTGAAGTATTACTGACCACCAGTAACACTTCTGCATTTTGCCGAAAATACTGCTGTAGTCACTGGAGAAAAAGACAGAAGTAAATCCTGCTTAACATATTTCTGCTGAAATGGATACAAGAAGTAGTAATTTCCAGAGAGCCCATGCACATTGGCTACTGCTGTGAAAGCTGAACAGTGTTTCTTCGTTTTATTAGCCTTCAGACTACTACCTAAGCAGAGCAAGTAGAAAGAGGTTTGGGCACATTAATGCAATAATCTGTTAAAAAAGCCTACATTAATCTCTTGTGGGCAATTCCCATCACTACTACATTTCTTCTTCCTTCCCAGGCTACAGAGAACTAAAAACAAAAAAAAAGCCTTACCTTCCCTCCCACGAGAGGCAAGATGTGCATCTTCCCTGCATGGCTGTCCTTCACTGAGGACACAATGAGGCACGTGCCACAGAGAGTGACGGAGCGCTCTGCCCACTTGTGCAGCTGGGTCTTTCCTTTGCGTACGTTATAGACTCCGGAGAGCAGGATGCGATCCAGCTGTTCCACCTGACATGGCTTTTCTGAAGAAAAAGGGGACATTAGCATTTACTGTCCATATGTTCTTCATTCTTATCTGTGAGTACAAATAAAACAGCTCTAACATGCAAAACCAGGTGTTGTAAAGAACAAGCAGACAAACTGCGCTTAAAAAAAAAGTCTCATGCAGAGGACAAGCAACATCCTCAGTGCAGGAACAGCGGCTGACCAGCACCACTTGTGCCTCCCAGAGCAATGTTAGAATGGTTGCCATGCATCGTGTTTTTAATCCACAGGTAGTTACAGACCTTAGCAAATCCACATGCTTGCCAAATATCCTTCGTTCAAAAGGAACAGAAAAATAATTTTAAACTCTCATTGAGTCAGCTGAAGTCACTGAAATCATTAAATAAGTGGCTTCTACTGGACTTAAAAGGAAGTCCTGGAAAATCAACTACAAAGGAAGTTCTTTCCCTGAAGATGACCATCCTGGTTTTGCCTGAGATAGAATTCATTTTCTTCCTGGCAGATGGTACAAGGCTGTGTTTTGGCTTCAGTGTGAGAATAATGTTGATAACATAAAAAAAAATAACACTAAAAAAACTGCTGTTTCGGTTGGTTCAGCAGCGCTCACCCAGTCAAGGACTTTACAGCATCCCATTCTCTGCAGGAAGCAGGTGCAGAAGAAACTGCAAGGGAGCATGGTTGTACCAGGTGATCCAAACTAGCAAAGGGGATATTTCACACCATAGAACACCATGCAGTATACAAACTTAAGGAACTGGGAGAGGAGGGCTGAGCACTGTTAGAGAAAGGGCACTGGTGTGATGAGCAGTGTATTGTGCATCACTTGTGTCTTATTCCTCTCTCTTTGTTATTTCCCTTTTAATTACAATTATTATTATTTTACTTTATTTCAATTATTAAACTGTTTTCAGTCCACAGGTATCATCTTTTTCCCATTCTCCTTCCCATCCCATGGGGGAAAGCAGTGTGTGAGTGAGCAGATGAGTGGTGCTAATTGGGTGGCTGAGGTAAAACCACAAAAGTCCTTTTAGGTGCCAAACCTGAAGCACTAAGGGCAGAGACAGAGCTGACCAGAGTGTGTTAAAACAGATTTGCTATAAGCATTTATTGTATTGCTTTAACAGTGGCTGGTCACAATATTGATTGGTTTACTCAATTTTCTTGCACTTGTTCTCAAGGCTGCATTATGTAACACCTTATCTGCTATAAAGGCTGGGTTAAGGTTATGGTGTATTTTGTAATGTGGTCTGTGTGCTCAGCATGGCCCCTACCTTTGTGCTCTGGTGCCATTTAGTGGAAAATATCAATAATGACACCATTTGCCTTTTCTCCTCAGAGAGCCTGCCTAGGGAGTGGATACTTCCCACATCCTCTTTTTCTCCTCCAGGTTAATTACAACAGCATTTGGGAATTTTTAATATCCTTGGGATGTTGAAACCAGTCTGGTTCCCTATTGCTAGGCATCATGAATGTGGTTCAGGGCTTGTTTAGGGAGAAGCAACTATTTGTGGCTACTCCAACCCTGTGACAAGCCATTGCAACTACTCCGACTGGACTGGAGTCAGACTGCTGCCAATTGCTGCTGTGCTGGACACACTCAAGGTCAACCATTCAGCTTCTGGAGTTGGGGTTACAGAGGATTTGGAGCCCACAATATTGGGCTGAACTCAAAGAGATACTGGTAGCATATGAAGAGGTTTGAGCTGTTTCAGAGCTGATTGGCACTAAGGTCCAGCTGCTCCTGGCATCCTACTGGGGTCCTGGGCTGGATGTTCAAAATGATGCTATGTGGAGTAAGCAGGTCACACTGATCACACAGCAAGTTTGAATAAGAAAACCATACTCCAAACATTTATCAGGAGCAAACAGTTAACTACGAACTAAAGCTGTAACATTCTTTCTCAGTTAGCAGGATTTTCAGCTTGCCAAATCTAAAGTACTGACATGATGTCCATATCTGGCTGAACTTAGCTGAAACATGCAGTTGTTTATTTACAACAATAGCTTTGTTTCACACACATGACATTTGACATAAGATATCCTTTACTGGTAAGAAACTGTGAGAACCCACAGAAAAAATTGCTTTGATTTCACCAAGCTGAAAGACCAGCCCCACACTTTTAAGAAAACATTATTATGGGACTAAAAGTGGTATCCTACTACTAACTGCCACAGCAGCACTGCTCCAAGCATTACTACGCAGCTGCACCAATGCTCCAGTTTCCCCCTCTGTCCAAAACCATGACACCTCTCCTATGGAGACGGGCTGAGAGAGTTGGAGTTGTTCAGCCCAGAGCAAAGAAGGCTCTGGGAAGACCTTCTTGCAGCTTTTCTATATATAAAGGCAGCTTATAAGAAAGGCATAGAGAGACATTTTATGAAGGCCTATAACGGCAGAACAATGGGCCATGTTTCTAAACAGAAAGAGGGCAAATTTACACTGGACATAAGGAAGAAATGTTTTATGGGGAGGGTGGGGAGGCCCTAGCACAGGTTGCCCAGAGAAGCTGTGGCTGCTCCATCTCTGGAATTGTCCAAGGCCAGGCTGGGTGGGGCTTGGAGAAATCTGGTCTAGTGGAAAGTGTCCCAGCCCATGACAGGAGGGTGGAACTAGATGATCTTTAAGGTTCCTTCCAACCCAAACCAGTCTGTGATGCCACAATTCTAAGTAAAGTGTTTCTGTGTAAAATCCATTACTTCCTCCCTTATGTTCTCAGGTGCAGACTTTGCAAAATTATTGTATCATCCTCCATAGCATTCCCTCTAATTCCTCCCCTACCTTTGAGAATCACTTTGTCAGCATTTGCTTAAAACAGGTCTCCTGAAAACACTTCAACCCTTATACTTCTTCCTTCATCACTTTCTTCTAAGCAGACCAGACACCCATGCTGACTGAAACTATTCAATTACATTTTCTATCTACTTGGTTCCATTAAGTTGAGTTGCTGTTTGTGAATCCTCGGCAGTTCCTGCTTGACATACCCAAGCTTTCACTTTTTCCTCAGAAGTTCTCCATACCCCTATCCTTGATGCCTCTACTCCTTCCAGCTGAAGTAACTTCCGACTCCCTTGCTCCATAAATCCAGACTAGGCATGTCAGACTTCATTCCATCTGTTACACTCCTTGTTTTGCAAAAAAAAAAATAAATATATATTTATATTTGTATATATATGGTGTATACAGTATCCACGCTGTTTTGCCTGTTCTTACACACAGTTCCCAGACAAAATGGGTTTGTCTCAGATAGCAGGGTGAAGAAGCTGATTTCTTATAAATGCATTTTTTTGACACTGAATAACCAAAAGATGGCTAGCAGCTTAGCCTGGCTGCCCAGATCCACAATGCAGAAACAATTTTCCATTAAAAACATCTTAATATTTTTTTTTTCTGAAATGCAAAAAGTAGACAGGTGAAGTACTTACAAGTAAGAAAACAATTTCCTCATTATCTTTCCTCACCCTCATTTCTTTTATATTTCCTGTTTACTTCAGTGAATTCCTTTTCTGACTGCTAGTACCACATGCCCACAGGCCTATGCTTGCTATCTGTAGCTCCTTGTGTATACTGTCTCCTGCCCAAACCAATTCAACAGGCCACACTCCAAAGTCTTGCTTCTGCAATCCAGTGCCCTAGGGTTCTGATGGCACCCTGCATTATCATAAACCAGCTGGCACCTTCACTCTTCACTATTAAAAGGTTGTGGAGGTATTTGACCAGGAGCTTCCTTGCACATATCCACAAACTTTTTGTAAATACAATCTTCATGCACATCTAAACAGAACTCCCTAAATCATCAGTTGCAATATTTGAATCTAAAGACAACAGAGCAATCTTGTGCCCTCCTGTGGACCTGTCTTTTCTCAAGTCATGGACAGGATCAAGAAAACTACAGAAGTGTGATTTTTTTCCTAATAATCTTTAAAATGCTTTATTTTAAGAAATGCTTACTGGTGCTGCAGGTGCTTGATGTAGCCCTCTATAAACCCAGCAGGCTGATGACTCAGGCTTTAGCCAAGCTCCAGCTCATAGTTACAGCTGCAGGAACAGTGACAGTGCACACACACAATTTCTTACCACTGTAAAAGCGAATCATACAGCTGAGATCAGAGTTTGCTGCCTCTTCCTGCATTCTGAGAGGATCATCAAAACCCAACCGAGCCAAGTAGTCATACACAATCTGAAGGGGTTTTTCTGTGGGCTCCAGCCTCCTGTCAAAACATACAAGAAAGAAGTTTGAGAATGCAAAAGAGATTAAACAAGTCTCAGTACAGCTAAAGCATGAGGAATACTGACACACCGTCTGTTCTGCTCCTCTGAAAAGGTCTGGCAAGCACAGACTCTTGGGTCTCTGCTCCCTGCTTGACAAGCAGCACTTAAGAACTGCAGCACTTGTGAATTACATTGCAGAAGAGAAACACAGAGAAACAGCAATTGGCATAAGCCACACAATTCATGGTGAATATTTCTATTTCATGATTTAAGGAGCACCAGGAGGAATCCATGACAAGACACAAAACCAGAGATACAAAAAAAAAAGCAGATGGCAAGTAATTAAAAAACCCTATGTATAATGCCTCAAAAATATAAAAGAATTTGTAAATTTTTCTTCTGAATGCAGCTTAGAGCAAAGCATTTGAAGAATCCTCATGAAGAATCATAAAAAATCCCAAAGCAAACATAAGACAAATTTCCTACTCTCTTCAATTCACATCAGTGGCTAGATTCTTATGCTTTGGCAAGTTAACTCAACCAGTACATTTAAAAGGATGTTTTAGAACTATGGCAGAACACAGGAAGGACTCAGTGGCTACCTTGAATTAACAGCAATAAGAGAAGGTTCTCCTGAAACATCAGATTTAGTGTATTCAGAATGGAAAACATCTTTTCTGATCCTCTCTTCTCACTTTTTCCAGGGACCCGGTATTGTGATTTTCTTCAATAAAAACAACAGAGTTTCTTGCTAAATTACAAGTTTTATTTTAGGGAAAAAAATATTAGTGTGAAAGATTAGGCACTGTTAGGTAGGAGTTAAAATATATGGTAGGAGTTAAAATATATTGTTCCAATAGTCTACTCATTATCCAACATTAAAAATCCCCATTTTTAATCTAAACGTACCTACCTTCAGATTACAGTTACTGGATCTTAATGGTCTCCTCTTTTTTAAACAGGAGTTTATAAACCATGTCACGAAACATTTGAAACTTTCACTTCAATATAAGGCGCAAGGTACTTTTAAAACTATTCTTGCAGTAGAATGGGTCTACTTTTGTTCAAAAGGACTTTTACCACCAATTTTTTTTTTTTAGTTTATCCCTACTCTGTAAGCACTAACACGATTGTTCCCTGTATCCATGTACTGACTTCACAAAACCGCACATACACTTTAGTTCAGCCCAAACACTTTTCTGTTCTTGGATCAAACCTGCTCTAGACTCATATCCCTCTAATGCGCAAGTCCTCCTGAACTGCATCTTTTGGCAACTTATAGCCTTCTTCCTCTCCTTTGCAGTATTTAGTACACTTGTCTTTTACATAAATCTACCTAGTGATACTGAAAAGCAGTGTTTTCCAGGAAATACTGCATGCTAAACCGTCTAGAGCAATCTGCTGCACTGATTTCTCAGTACCCATCACTCCCTCCATTCATGCCCTCCTGAGCTCATACCTTTTAGCCACAGGTTATTAACAGGGCAAACTGAACAATGCAAGTTTACATTTTTTCCTTCAAACAGCTCCTCACCCAAAACAAGATGCTTACACTGAATAACAGCTTCCAGTTTGTAAGATATTAGCCAATAAGTTTCACTGGTTTGTGCATTGCTTTTCTCCCCATGACATCAGAACACAGAACCTGAGGCATTTTGGGCAGGAAGGGCCTTTAAAGATCATCTACTCAAACCATCCCACCATGGACAGGGACATCTTCGACTTGAACAGACTGCTCAGAGCCCAGTCCAACATCTCACTGCAATGAATGACTAATACCTTTGGCAACCAAGCTCAAAATTTTGAAGCATCAAGATAGAATTTGCTAGGCAGGACCTGTTTTGCATTAAACTTTGTTGACTTGCATACATTATTTATACTGTGCGTCTTAATGGGAAACATTTCATTGCTGTATGTACCAAACCTTTTCACTTCTTCTCATATCTTCTTAGGAATAAGAATATTTCTGATTGCTTTTAATTACTATATCAGAGTATTTCCACTATTACTGACAGCTTTACAAATGTCATCAAATAATTAAGGCAGGACTGATTTCATAAAACATGCACCATTTACAAGTACCTAGTCATCCAGGCTTCCTTTGGAGTCACCAAGACAGCTCTCAAGAAGTATAATAACTCAGGTATTACAAGCAGATACATTGCAACTCTCACTTCACACACAGGACCTCTGGATCAGAAGAAGGATTACTCTCAAACAAAGTTTATAGCCTAAAAAGGCAATGTAGCTGATAGTTGAAGAGCAAGCAATGTGGTGTGAAACTGGCATCAGCTCACATTAGAACTGCACAAACTCATCCTGTACCCAACACAACGAGCTCTGAACACTGGCACATGCGAGAACACGTGGCTGTCACAGCAGCTGCAATCTGGCGCAAACAGCCCATGACATCCTCAGCGGTATCACACATCAGGGACTGAATATTTCATTTGCTCACAGCAGCTCTCGGGAGAACAGGTGCAAAGGCTTAAGGAGACAGAAAAGCCAAAAAGAAGGAGCAACAGTTTCAGTTTCATTCCTGTTGCAACTGTAGCTCTCCATAAGTAAGGGTCAAGTTTTCGCATCTTGGAAGCTAAAATTTTGGTTGCCAGCGGTATCCAGAGCAAAGAAGGTATCCCTGCAATTCTCGTTTAACCCTTCCCTCTGCAGGAAGATATAATTTCCAGATATGAATGGATACAAGCATAAAAAAAGATTCTGGCTAGGAGAAAGCTCAAGATCCTTGAGGTGCATTGTGGAGAAGAAAAAGTTCTTCCAGAAACTGACTTGAACTCATAGAATTGAAAAGGAAACAGAATGATCACAAGGACATTGCTGAATATTTAGACTGAATACATAAAACAGCTTCTGCTATTCTTCCATGCAGCTTTCAGTCTTCCAAGTCAGGTGCCAAACCAACATCTGTGATGCTCTGGAAAGAAAGTCACCTGCTGATATTAAAAGGGCAAAGAATTCAGAAACTGTCTGGGAGACGCGTGTAGTTATGGTAAGATGTGATCAGATATTTAACAAAGCAATTTGTATAATGAACATGTTATTAACGTAATTGGTAAAGTTTGTTTGAGGAAGGAATTATCTCAACAGGGCATGAGGATAATCTTGGGCACTCTGTCATCTTCCTGTGGACATGCAAGTAGATACCACTGAGGTCTGCTTCCTGCTACTAACACAGGGGTTAGTGAAGCAATACTGGTAACTCCTGCTTCCCTACCAAGAACCACTCCAGTGGGAAGTATTTCAAGGATCTCTCCTGTGACAAACACCTTCTGAGAATTACAAGGAATAGACACATCATAACCAAGAACTCTTTACAAAATTTATGACAAATCTTAGCCAAGTCCTAGACATACCAAGAGGTAAAAGGAGTGGGAAGTAATAATTTAAAGCTCAGGACTTGCTTCCAAAAGGCTGGCAGCAATTTGCTGCCAATTTGCTAATCCAGTGCAAAATCTGCAACAAATCAAAGACAGGCACAGCTAGCTAGCATGAGAAGAGAGGCTGAAAAGAATTCAAATGCAAAAGCCACTTCAAAAGTTAAATAAAGTCAAAATGTATCTCTCTGAACACATCTACAACCTTTACCTAAGCTTTTTCACGATCTGCATGAAAGGCTCTGCCCTTCCTTAAAAATGCTGAAAAATCTGCTTGCTATTAGGGTCCTAAACATGGCAACTTCCTTACAAATTTTTCAAGCAAGAAACAGAGGTTTCCAGCTGCCTCAGTGGCAGTGTTCAAGTGTCCATCTGTTCTCATACAGCATTTCTAACTAATCCATCCCTAATTCCTGTAACCCTGCAAATGGTTCTAATCAACCTTTTCCAACAGTCAGTTTTAAACAAGTCCTGCTCTCTCTGCATCTCCCACCACCAGCATTCCCACTCCATTACAGAGCAAACATACATGAGAGTTTTAAGAGCTGTACACATTCGACCTGTAACCTTCATTTCACATCAAAAATCCGGCTACTAGCTCTGTTCAAAATGCATTGTATCTACTGCTTAGCCTTTAAGTAAGGAGACCACAGCAATTATTTGCTCCTGAGAACAGGAGCAGCAATTTTTTATAACTGAATCTTAAGTCCAGAAGAATCAGTGCAAAGTTTAAATCCTAACAAACTGAATGGGAGCTTCTAAACCTAGAGGAGTCCATTACACACTCACAGAATAAAGTTCACGCACATTAAACCCTGAGCCATCTATTTTCAGCCTAAATTGACTTCCGGCATAAAACATAGCATCTGATGCTTAAGCCTTCTTTATACAACCCTTGCTACAATTTCTGTCTGCCTTTAATTATTTAGCTGGCAACTCTTCTCAGTGAAAAAAATTACTCACACGTAAATATTAAATTACATAACTGTGAAAGCACCTTACTTCTTTTGCTGAGTCAAAGTAACTGTTTACAGCCTCTTAAATAGATTAGGTTGTCCAGAGGCTAAAACCTCCATAACACAGAACATAACAAAGGAATATATAAACAGGTGTCTCTACTCAGAAAACGAGGACATATTTCTGGCTAGAGCAACAGTCAAACCCTCCTTGTTAAAACACATAACTACGAAGTGTGTAACCTCTCTTTCACCACCATCTAATTTTTATGAAGTGCATGACTCAAGGCTGTACCTGACTGCCAGTTACTACCTCTGCCTGTTCCCTACCTGCCCTGCCAACAGGCATAGAGACACGCTGAACAAGAGCCTCGCAGACCTATACAAAACATTTCTCAGTCAGGTTTATCCTTTCTCGGCCCTCACCTGACCAGGTCTCCATGAAGCTGCAAAAAGAGGTTTTTCCTCCCTTCTCCGTCGCAGATCTCCGAGGCTTGGGTGTCCACTGTACAGAGGACCAGGCGCAAGTCCGAGGGAGCCGCAGCCGCTGAGTCTCTTCCATAAACATACACGCAGCCTCGTCCGACGTCCCCTTTCAGCCAGATCCTCTCACGGGAGCCAACCCGACTCCTGCTCTGGCAGCTCCTGCTCCCGGTGCGCTTCACGTTCCTCTGCAAGGCAGCCCAGACCGAGCGTCAGCACCGCCTGCGGCCGCGCTCCGGCCCGGCCCCGCACCGGCCCGCTCCGCACCGGCAGCAGCCACTGCCATGGGAAAGACCAAGGTCGCAGCGGGCAAATGTCTCCCGCGTCCCGCAGCCGACTCTCCTCCACCCCACCGAGTCGCCCGGAGCGGCGGAGGCCTCGGTCCCCTCCTCACCTTCAGCACCCGGATGCCGCCGCGGGATCCGGCCCGGCACCCCCGTGTGCCTCCCGGCGCCGCCGCCTCGTCCTCCTCGGGCTCCTGCGCCTCCCTGGGCCCCAGCCCCGCAGCCGGCCCCGCAGCCGGCCCGGCCTCCCCCATGGCCGGCCGGACCCACAGCCGGGCCTCCGCGGCGCCGCCCCGGAAGCGCACGGGCCGTCCGGCCCAGGCCCCGCCCCGGGCGGCGGCACCGGCGGGCAGCGCTGCCCCTCCGGAGCCGCTCCGGGCCGGGACGGGCACCCCGAGCTCCGTGCCCGCCTGTGTCCGTGACTTCCACCAGCGAGAGGTGCCCAGTGCGAGCGGGAAAAAGGCACAGCTCACAGGAACGCCGCAAACGCACCTGTCACCGCTCGCCCTTCACAGAGCTCCAGCGCCGGTCACCCGCGGCTGGAGGGACGCTGCTCAGCAGCACAACATGCTCCTGCTGCCCTGCAGGTCCATCACGTAAGCTCTGCCAGCCTTAACTAGTGGCTGCTACTAATAATGTCAACAACTACTAGAGACGTCATAATCTACAAATGACATCATCATGACAGATTGCAAGAATTTGAGTATGTTTTAGGACAGCCACTGCTTCTGCCTCAACAGGATCAAGAACATTTTAAAAAAGCCTCCCACCTTCCCCACAGTGAAATTACAGGTTTGAAAAGACATGAAAGGTCATCTAGTGAAATGTGACTGTGACTAGAAAACACAAAGCAGGCACACGTGGGGACAGAGATATGGTGACAATCCTCGTCCAAGAGCCACATGGAGTATGAAAGGGGTCTTTTAACGGGCTCCAATGCAGGCTCCAAACACAGTCCTTGTGTTCAGATCCCACCACACCTTTCTAGCATCTGGACAAGCATTGCTGCTCATAACTAACAAGCTCTCTTCTCAGGTTGGCATTCCACAGGAATTGCTCAAGTGTTTTGCAACTGTCCAACCATCTTGATCTCCAAAATTTCCTGTAAAGATTTTTCAAAACATGGCCTTACTATTTTGTGTCATCTGATGTTGCCACGGCCAAACATTAAGAATCAAAACATTCTATCCCACTGTATTGGTAGAAAGCAACAAGGCAATTTTAAATCATTAAATATTGACTCATTTTATTAGTCACTTCATAATTTGTTTCAACCAAAAGACAATACACACAGCAGAAGTCTAATGCATCCCATGTAAATGTTCACATCTGTTAAGCTCCTCACTCACCTATGACTCAGCATTTACCTAAATTTTTCACATCTCAAAAATAGGTCTCCAGAATTTCAAGTGCCAACAGGTGCCCTGCCTCAAATGGTATGTTTTTCACTTTAAATTTGATGGGTTTGTATTTTAGTAGTTTTTTGTTTGCCTTTTTTTTCCTCTATACTGTCAAAGAGGTGGGATGGGGCTCTGTGTAAAATTTAAATTACAACATCACGAAAGAAAAAGGATATACAGGAGTAGAGTGAAAGTTAAAAGGGAAGTAGTCCAGCAGCTCCTTCCCTCACAGCCTCCAAGTAGAAAATAAACACATAAAATTGCACCAGCATCACTGCTGCTGCAGCTCACAGCTAGTACCAGCCTTAGGCGAGGCACTGGTACCTTTCCCAGCTGCTTCAGTATCTTCTGAGTTTTAGATCCAAGGTACTGTAAAGACAGTCCCCTCACTGCTATTGCTTCAATAAGTTGTTCAAGGCCATATTTTGTGCCATCAAGACCTGGACAAAGTCGACTCTTAGGACCTCTCCATGTCTTCTCCCCCTTCAGGCCCATTATGGCCACTATTGTTTCTGTCATTTTTTGACTGAAAATACATTCACTTAGTAAAAGACATCCAGTCTCTCCCAGTTCCAAAGCCTCCCATGCAGATACTAGTAAGATTAGCCATGAAGTCCATATCTTGCTGCCCTTATATTCCCCTTACACCGAAGCAAGGAAAACGTTGACCAGACCCTGTAATTGTTGCATTCAACCGGCGGGAAGAGGACTCAGCGTGTGCTTGGAGTGCCTCAGACGTGCGAGTACTCTCCAGAGGAAAACCACAGCAACAGCACAGAGCTTGGAATGCACATGGGGGTCAAGGAGCAAGCAGCATTATCTGGTATTGCAGATAGGGGAAGGTGTGAAGCCTGGCCTTCCTTCTTGTGTAATGTCAGCATCCATCCCTTAGTGAGGAGGGGAGAGCTCCAAGGACAACTGGAATGTTTGGCTGCTATAGAGGAGTACTTCATAGCCAAGGGATGGCTTCCTGCAAAGTGTATTTTGGGTACACACTCGCCTCCTCCTGCTCGACTCAAATACAGGACAAAATGCCCATTTCCCCACAGACACAGTGCAAGGGTGGCTGAAGGAGCCAAGAACGCAGAAAGAATTCACCCCACAAGCTTACCAGAGACAGACAGCTGCTCTAGGGGACAGAAAACAAGCATGACGAGAGGGACAACATACACTGTTCCCAACTCAGCTGCAACAAACTGGCCAGGCGAGAGACCATTTTCTTCTTCCTTCCCATCTAATTTCCTGTACCAGTGCTCTTTCCCAGCAAAACCAAAGGGAGAGTGAGGCATGCTGGCTTTCAGTACGAGTGATCATGTACAACTCTGTGAAGAGAATGGTAGAGCTTATGAGGAGTTCAGGAACCAAGGCAAAGACTTCCCATTAGCTTTTTATCCATAATGCTCTCAGAACTCACTGGGGTATGGATTTAACACACTCAGTCTTCAACACTGAGTATTAGCTAGTGGGGCAATGAATAACCACAACTGCAGTGAAAACGATTAAGCTAAATGCTCAGCACCAGAAATGGACCCTGATTCAGCCATTTCCTGCAAAACTGCCTGTTTCATGATGCTTCCAGCTAAGCACAGGATAGATCTCTCCACTGATAGCCAAGGCATGACCCTACCACAACCCAAAGTTAATTTTAAGGAAATCATATATTGTTCTTCTAGATTTTATAACCCTACTGATGCCAGTTCCAGGAAAAAAAAAAAAGCTCTTTGCTAGTCCAAAGGCCCAAAGCAGTTCAATCAGTAAGGTAGCAAAAATACCCTTCAAGAGAAGATCAATTTACTCCACTACACATGGACCAGCACTAAAATTAGTGTCAGTCCTACATTATATTACAACACTCAGTGGCCTCCTGCTCCCAATTCAAGGGCAGAACAGGTCTTCAGTTTTCCCTAAGTACACTGTGGATCACTCTTGCAATATTTTTGGCAAGTTCTGGAGCCCAGTGTTAGCACTTCTGTGGACACAAGAAGCTATGTCTAAACTTGTGCTCACAGCACTCAATGATTTGGAAAGCCCTAAAACAGAACTGAAGCAGAAGTGCCAAACCTTCAGCTTACCAGCACATTCAAAAATGAAGACCTAAGATAGATCCTAAAGAGCACTGAACATCTGGAGTTTGTCACACTGTGCTCGTCTGTCTTACACATCACCTCCTAAAGACTGCCCAGAACTGCACCAGCTCCCAGGAGTTCCTGCAGGGACATCCCTGAACACAGATTTCTGTGAGCTCAGAGAGGTACCAACCAGATCTTGCATCTCTGGATCCAAATACTCAAACAACTGGCTTCCGTTCAAAACACAGCTTAGTTACTTTCAGTCTGAATGTGAACTGGCACATTAATTCTGAAAGGGGAGCAAGGATCAACTAAGTAAAAAAATGGGAAAAGGTCTCTTTAAACTGCATGGTCTTTATTTCAGTGCCAATATTACAGATACAACACAAATATCCCAGTCAGAAGTAACTCAAATGGAACCCAGGGGGTCTACAACAGGCTCTGGAAATAAAATTGGGGAGAAGTTCTGGAATAACCAGGAAGAGCAACTTTGCAGCATAGTCTGTGATGAGTCTCCCAGCAGGAGCAAAGCCCTTGCCCAAAAACTGATCTACAAAACTGAATGTGTCTTTTCTACCCATAAACCACAACTAATAGGTCGAAAGACTTTGAAACCGTATGTGGTAGAAAACCAGCTGCTCCTTTTATCTCTACATCTCTCATAACTCACTTCACTTTCTGGGGAAGCTACAGAAGACTCTGAATCTGCGTGACTGTGCCTAGTGATGGAAGGAAAGAAAATTCAGGTGTAAGGGCTTCATTTTCAAGTACAGCACCGAAGCAATTTTACCAACTCTTACCAGCACCTCTTCTCCTGCACTGTGTTCCAGGTTTGCAGATGAACTCCAAAGGCCTCACTTGCTCTTGGTATGCAGCACATAACTAAGAAGTGCGTGTATACAATAATGCACTGAGTAGGTCATAAGAAGCCTCCAGCCCCTTAAGACCTAGGGGATACAAGAAGAAAGACGAAGGGCAGCCTGGCATTCCCCAAGACCCCATCTGAGTCCCAGATGAAAATGTGTGAAGGAATCCAGCTAGAAATGAATGACAACACGCCTTACCCACCCCAGGGAAAAAAAGACAGCAGAAAGAAGGAGCAACTGCTCACTTGCTGCAGAGAGAAGAAAGTTTCCCTGCTAGAAATTCCAGACTTCTCTTCCAACCAGGCTGTGTTCCTTTTTGAGAGGGAAGGAGGGTGGGGAAGGGGAGAAGGGAATGTTGCTTCTGGCTGTGAATGCATGTGTGAGGGAGTGCACAGTAGCCCCCACAAGCCACCAGCCTCATCAGCAGAGGAGAGGAGATTAATCTTAACAGATATGCTTCAAAGTCAGCAATCACTTCAGGAAAATTCCTCCTCATCAGCAGGTCTCTTTTGTTCCCCATGCCCATGGTGCAGTTTGGGGGATTGCCAAGGATCACAACCTTCTTCCCAGAGTTCTTTTGATTGGGTGGGATGAGAGTAAGAATGGTGCCAGAGCCTCATTGCCAAGACTGAGGGGGGAAGTTGTTGACTTCTGCTAGATCCTGCATTGCTGAGCCCTTGTGATTATATGTCAACTTGATCCGCATACGTAGTTGTTGCTACAAGAGAAAAGGGGGAAACAAAAAAACACAAAACAAATTCAGGTCTTCATTAAAGGTCAGAGACTCCCACCTCATCCAGTTCCTCTCCCCCACCCCACAAATACTCAACACTGACTTTTCCTGAACACAAGAGCTTGTTGGTGTGTGCAGGGTGAGCTATGACACTGCAGATAAACGCTCCATCTGGTGGGACATTCATTGGTCACTGTAGTTCTCAGATCAGGTACAAGCTCGTAGAAAAGTTACAGCACAACTTCTACCCATGTTTGTGTCTGCACTGGCCCTGCTCTTGCAAGCACTGAAGTCCTTAAATACAAAATTAACCTCCTTGAAATTCCAGTTAACAACAGAAAAAAGCAGGTGGCAGATCTGTACTCTGTTGCACTGCACTTGGGCCTGCAGGGAGAGATGGGCTGTCCATTCAATGCAGCAGTCTGGCAAC